AATGACGCGTGGGATTTGGAATTTGGCTTATTCGGGTTACTATGAAAAATTGAAAATTACCCGACTTGTTATTGAAGCCGAACAAACAATTAAATTTTACCATATTATAACCAAAAAATCATATGAAGTCAAATCGAAGTTTCCAAACTCTTTTTGGTTCGGTCGAATGTCGGGTTACCCGACCCAATGAACAGCCCTAGTGGACGTGAAAGACAATTTCTGGATCTAGAACTTAAGGATGAGAAGTAAGTCAGTTGATATAGTTTGAAATACATTCTAATTTAAATTTAAATCATTCTAATTATAATTATTTATTTATTTAAATACAATTGCACATCTAATACTTTGAAGTGTACCCTTTGGGGTGAGCATGCGGATAGGACGTTGGAACATATCAAATTGAGGAAATCAGCAAGAATTTTTGTGATGATTGGACATGCCATGATCAATAGTTACAAAGGTTATGTGTTATACGATTTAGTACTCGACGGCAAGCCGTATGAATTGTTTATATTTATAAAACTTTTTTGGTTCTTATTATCAGACAATATCAAAGTACAAAATTCATGGTGGAGTACTAATGTGTGGGTGCAAGAAACCATGCCTTTAAATTATAGAGTTTAAGGAAAGGTTAGTATAATATTTGACTTTGTTGAACGTAATTAGCTCCCAATGCAACTCACTGATTAATCTAATTTAATTGTCCCAACATTAGAATGATTGCATCTGGCTCTTATGATCGTGATTAGCAGAATATTTATATTTGTTTCAATTGTAGGATGTGCCTGATGTTGAAATTCCTCAGGAGCTCTACCAACTTATGGGTAAGCGCTCGATTTTTAAATTTGAGGTAACTGATTACCTTATCACAACCGGTTCCACCGTCTACACCTGCACCAAGATCATCGATGACCCCATGCTCATTGAGCAATTTGAAAATCATGGTGGCCTTAGAGAGGTCCGTCTGGTCATTATCACTTATATTAATGGTTACATTTTTTATTTTCTTTAATGTGTTCATTAATATATCCATATTCCTGGTGATGATGGTGATCATGATGACAAGCCCGACGATGAAGATAATCGTGTGAGTGCTACATTACAATCTGTGTCGTCTAATCAGCCTAAAAGATGCCGCTTATATGCGTATTGATTATATTAAATAAATCCGAATTAATGCATGAATCCGAAGATTCTTTTTTATAAGTATATAATTTGATTTTAAATTTAATTTCATCTACGGGTTATTGGGTCAGATCCTATTACCATTGATGATGAATTAAGCAATGAAGGCATAACTCCCAATAACTCTATGCATAAGAGAGAGAGCCTTGAAGTTGATCTTGATGATCAGGAACTCCAGGCCTCCACCAGCAAGAAAAGTGGCTAATCGATTGGCAGAAAATAATAATACATTCGTGCTTAGACGAATTTGGTTTCTTTTTTCTTTCTTTTTTTTCAATTAATTACTTCATGTTTTTAGGAATAAAGTGCCCAACCTTTTAGAGGTTGGGAACCTAAAAGTCGCTGTCGATTGTAATCCAACGCATTTGACGTTTAGCTAGCTATTTCAATTTTTATTATTGCAAATGAAATTGAACTTTCGTTTTATGACGCCTTTATCTGTTTTAATTTTTTTTTCCATCTGAAACTGAAGTTTATGTTCTATGAAAGGAAAAAATATTATGAACGTATTTCGTTTGTTAATAATAGTTTACTATCTTTTTCACCATAATTATTAATTATATCATAAAAATCTATTTTTTACCATACTGTGTATTTTTATACATGATACCTAATACAAATTATAATATAAAGTAACTTATTGCCGAAATTTTGAAGGGAAAAAAAAATTAATAAGCTAAAATAGCGGCCAAGATGAGGGACTTTTTTGACAGTGTTGTTTTATGGGAATTTTTTTAAAAAAAAAAAAGAAAAACGGGAGACTTATTGATGTCTTCATGAATTTTATTAACTTTTTCTTCCAGTAGTTTACTTAGGCCATGACATCTATTTTATTTTATTTTATTTTTTTACATGAATCCCATATTCTATTTATTTTTACAAGAATCAGGACAATCGCTCTCAAATGTGGATTTGTTTTTGTGTCGCACAGTATTCACGTACGGTCAGCTCTATGTTGCTTTTTCCAGAGTAAAGTCTAGAAAGGATATCGAAATTTTCATTTGCAACAAAGAAGAAGAATTTAGCAGCAGCACAACGAACATTGTCTACAAGAAAACACTTCAAAATATATGAACTTTGATTTTTTTTTTCTCTTCAAAAATACCGTACTTGTATTATATTTGGATAAACTAATTCCTACAAAAAAATTTTGCATTTTGGTTTTGATTGTGTTTCAAATTTTACATAAATGGTATAATTTCAATAATTCACATTCTATATAGAATTAATTTGAGATATTTTATGTATACTTGTTTTTCATTTCAACTTTATTACGATAATATCTAAAAAGCTGCACCGGTATTACACTAGTTAAACAAAAATGATAGGATATTTACTGTCCGAAAACCGATCTATTTCATGGTTGACCCTTGCTTCACTGAACTTTGTTACTCTATCCAAAGACTCCACCAAACCTTGGGTCACAATATGCAAGATTAATTGAACAAATGAGATGTGTAATTGAATATTGTCTTATCTTTTCATCTGGTTTTTCTTGTTCGTCACATTATTTGGCATTTTCTAGGGATTGGTTTGATAAATTTCTTTCGAACCTTTACATATATTAAGCATGCATATTAGGTAACAATATTTGGATTTCGGATATCACAAGATCATGAAGAAGTCTCAGACATTTATGGAAAAAATTTTAAAGCGCTCAAAGTACTGTTAAATAAAATCGTATTCATAGTTTTTTTATTTTTGGTCTTAATTCACTTGTTTAGTAGTAATTTCATTTTATAGGTAATATCCATCTTCATTGTAAAAAAAAACTATATATCCATAAATGTGTGCATCTCTACACCGTTATTTACGCCGAGAGGATACCACAAATTTTTTTCTTTATTTGCGTATGTAAAAGGAAGAATTACTTTGGTTACGTTAGACCAAATTAGATGGAGTTGATAATTGATATCTTGATAATTTATATTTTGAGTTCATTAGACGAATTGATAATTGTAAAGAATTAACCCAAATTCTGATTTTCTTGATTTTTAGATGCTAACCGCCTGGTGCTGAGCGAGATCCACCCGAATCTTTAGGTTCAAATTTCTAGCTGCGAGCCTGCGACTGTTTTCTTCCATTGTACCACACTAGTGATTTTAGACAGTAGACCGGAAGTCTCTCTGGCATCATCACAAATCCACCAATCTAACACCTTCATCATTTCCTAACTAGAACTCCGATGCTATATAGATGATTTGATTAAACTTGATTAATTCATTACTTCTTTATACAATTGGAAAAAAAAAAAACAAACGAAATCAACCAATATTTATATAATTGTGCTTACCTTGCATGATCCAACAACAATGATTCACCCTCTGTCTTAGATTTAATTGTGGTTAACTTCCAAAATGCGAGTGGCTGATGAAATTGGTATAAGCAGTAATTAACTAGTTTATATGTGATGGACTGTTGAAATTCGAAACCACCATATTGGTTGAACTAAGCTACCCTAATTATAAGCCCATGCTTCTCTTATTTGTTCTACTCTAGGGTCGTTACGCTAAGCGGAATGCTTTTCTAATCTTTTTTTTTTTTGTCAAACCATTTATCTAGTGGAAGTTCTAGGGTATACATAATAGTTCCTCCCGGGCCCCAAACACCCATGGCCTACTTTCAAGGAGGTTAAAAAAACGGAGGAAGAAACGACTAGACAAGGAGTCACCGGTAAAAGATAGACAAGATACACACATTAGTAATGTATCATTAGATACACGAGAATTACGCCAATAAAGGCGAGGATTTTTTCCAGATGAAGACATTGAGGAGTCGAGAACGTTTCTCTTGGCTCATAAAGTAGTTAAGAATGTCCTTGCAATACAACAGTTCTCTTTGTAATCTCTCATTGTTTTGAAATATGATCGTTCTTTTCTTTCGGAAAAAATTAGATTTTTGGACCAAAACTAAGTTGTCCCGGGGGGGGGGGGGGGAGAATAGTTCTAGGTGGACTATATTTTATGTGGGCAGGTAAGGAAGTACGATTGTCTATTGCTTCCCAATCTAGAATTTGTCCACAGTCCATACATACATGTTTGTAGTTTTATATGGAATAAGAGGATGCATGATACTTACATAATAACATAACATACCTCTACTTTCATAGGCTCATAGGGTGAGTCACATTGATTAAAATAATGTTGGGAAACAATGCACTCATTAGAGGTTAGTTTTAAACCGAAACCATGGCGGTGCCTTCAACATTTCAACTCCATTTCGCAGCATCCAAATTCCAAACAGCCTTTGCTAATACTCCAGTTAGTGATGCCAGATTGCCAGTAATAAAACTCAAATAATGCACAATTTTGGCAGTTTTTCAGTTAAACTAGATCTTATTATATTGGTTTATGAAAGACCCATGTCCAAAGTCAATTTCATGCCCCTGCGCGCTCAATCCTTTGTCTTCAAGTGATAGAGGATAATAGTATATCCACACTATTTTTTACTTTCATAGCAATTCCATTGGAAGAAATTACATACATTAGTTATTCCATTAGGATAGACCCATTCATAACGATATTAATACTACCCCTTTGCTTCTTTTTAGTCAAATGGTTTTGGATTGTAACGTGAAGAAATTCAAATGATGACAAAAACAAAATAAAATGAGAAGTGAAAGAAAGACCATATTCTTCTGACATCATAAATATGAAGGTCGACGACCGCTTTGGAATTCCAATCTCTTATCATTTTTTTTTTTAAAAAAAAAGAATCTGGATTTTGGTAGCATTAATTACCATTCACCGTTTCAATTTTTTGGAATAGAATTGTCTGTCGTTTGTCGTACTCAATGTGGCAATCTTCAAGACCTCTGCAGAGAAAGGGCTCGCTTACCATCACGGCTTTTGCATTCATTTCATTTACTGTTCTTTTCTGCAAACACAAGAGATACAAATTTACAAATTACAAACCGAACCAAAATAGTACGTATAACTCTTCTTCATTTACTACATTACATACACGCACACCCTACTGAGACTGACCACACCCCAACCCACTTTCCCCCCTCTCACAGTTCACAGCTCATAGCGATGGAAGACAATGAAAGCCCACATGATCGTCTTTGATGACTCATTCCAACCAAACATTTTTTTTATAGTATTTTTCCGAATTGCGTAACCCACGTAATCTCTCTCTTTCGATATGGGCTGCTAATTTTGGTGTTTGTAGGCATTTCATTTCCTGCTTATTTTTCTTTTATCTACACGGAAATCCTGGAAGAAGAACAGAGTGATATCAGAACCTGAATTTAGGCGAAGGGGAAAGAAAGATCTATTTATATATGAATGATGGGTTGAGCTTTTATTATTCATAAAGGGCTTTCACTTCTATTGATTGTGAGAGATTAAACAATACAGAACAGAGGTTTGTTGTTACTACTTTTTGGCATTTTTCCATTTTTGGGCTTTGTCAAAACCACAAAGGTACAAACTTTTTGGGTTTTAAGAGAGGAGGAAAAAGCTTCTTGTTAGTTAAAAAGGGACCATATCTTGCTAGGCATTATGAAGGCTTTTGGGACATTGGTTCTGCTTCTGGTAACATTGGTGGCTTTTGTGTGCATTGCTTTCTATATTGAAGACAGAATCGCCTCTTCTGATCCGGGTATGAGTTTTTTTACAGTCCTTTGCTTTCTCAGGTAGTGTCTTTAAAAGCTGATATTGGTGGTGTTTTCCACTGTATGTAAAATTTAGATGACGATTTCAATGTCTTCTAATCCAAAACTAGGCCAAAATGGCCCTCTTCTTCCGCAAAATTGAAGACTTCGTCTACTTACAATAGTATCGAGTATCGAACTAATCTAGGTTTGGAGCAATTCTGTGTTGCAGCTTGCGGAAAAGGACCTGATTTTGCAAGTTTATTTATTCCTAAGCTAAATAAACTAGCTATAATTATCATTTTATTCAACTCATCTTTATAGCTCATACAATATCAGGTGTGTATTGGATATTCAGATCATTTATTTAATTATTTCTTGAAAGTTTCATCTTGGAAGAATTGGAAACAATCTTGGCCTTTAATGGGTCCAGGTGTATTGGGGAAAACCATATTAGATCTTAGTACTTTTAAGCAATGAGTATGCAACTTCCAATGTATCGGGACTTCACTACAATCAATTTTCTTTTCCTCAGTCGTCAATGAATTGACTGACCTAAATAGTAAATACCATCCACTTTCTTTTGCTTTTCCTTTTCAAATGTTTGAAAATCCTGAGATTCTGCAACATAGATATGTAAACATAGTCAGCCCTGTTAAAGGAGAATGATCTACAAACTTGTAACCACTGTGTTCAGTATATGTTGTACTTACTCGTCCCAAAATGATTGTCTGACCAGTTTGTTGTATTATTGTAGTATAACAAACGTGACAATTAGTTTTGGGCAAATCTGTAATGGAGTAAGAGTTCTGTTATGAACTCCCAGTTTATTTCAGGTACTGATGGTATACATAATCTGATGATGAATCTCACAGGTTTGGTTCTCGAACAACATGATGGAAGTTATGCTACAGGAACTCTGAAGAATAGGAAGTTAAAGGTACTAACAAGATCAGGAAACTCCAATAAATTTACTGGATAGTTCCCTGGAAAGATGATTGGTTTTTTTAAGCTAAATGAACTAAAAGGGTTCCATCTTTGTTGTACACAGGAACACAGGGCAACAGGCAAGGCCGCACCAGGTCATGATGAACTCGAAGATTACCGCCCCATCGATCCAGTTCCGAGTTCAAAAGCTTCCATTAGACCTGGACCTATCCAGCATGGTACTCCACTCATGCCTTATATACCCAAGCCCTCTCCTCCCCCTGGTCACTCCAAACACATCGGCTTCCCTTAAATAATGCTTCAGGGCTCCCCTGTTTCCTGATTGTTCGATACTTCGATCCGTGAAGTAGGAAATCTGTACTAATAAGCCTAGGCATGTGGGATTTTTTGCACCTGCCTTTTCTACCATGTAACATGTTTTTGTCTCTCGAGCGTTTTTCAGTTGTGTTATGTAATTTGATCGTCTACGTTTTGTAACAGATGTTTGTTTTATGTTGTATTGTATCACTAATATGAATGTTAGATAGTGAATTACTACTATATAAACTCTTCCCACTTCGCTTACTATTAGTTTCTTCTTATAGACTCTGTACCTCTGATCAGTTCTTCACTTCTAGAATACTAAGACAAAGCAGCAAACAAAAAAAAAAAGAAAAAAAGAAAAGAAGGGTAAATCTAGCATTGCTACTAATCTGTCGGATTCTGTATAATCATTTTGGGACGGAGAGAGTATGTACTAATTAACAGGGACAAGGCAAGTCACTAGGAAATGATTCATTGTACTAAACTGCAATGAGCCGATCATGGCCGGGGTTGAATGAATGAAATATGGGCAATGATGAAATTGTTGTTGGAAACATGAAATGATTCCTTCTTTCTCAAGGTTTAGAAACCAGTGATATAATGACATTTCCGTTTCCTTTTTGGGATAATGCCGTACAGACTCGATTATTCTCCGTTGTCCATTGTCCATCAATTGGTTTCTATGGCACAGTGATCACCCCACGCTAACATGATGATGAAAGTAAAAGAAACCGTGTTTTTTTTTTTTTTCCTTAGTGAAGAAATATAAAGAAACGAAAAGAATTTAAAGTGGAGAAATATAATCATTTGAGGGAAAAAAGAATTTAAAGAAACGAAAAGAAAAGGACAGTGAGGATTATTATTGGTTTCATGCATCAAGTGATCAAGTTCATCCAACCCTTCAATCTGGGCCATGGTAATTGAGTTTTTGAAGGCGATAATCAACTAGTGGTAGCCCAAAGAAAGCATGAAGTAATTATGGAGGTTATTACTAAGCAGGTACTGAATTGATGATTGAAATTAATGTGGACCATTTAGATACATCTTTAATACTCTATATGTTCTAAAAATATTATCCACATTGAGTTGATGAGTATATAGTATTTTTTGGGAGAGGAAATGTACAAAATACTTTTAAGGGAGGAGGCAGTCGACTACTTGATCTCATATCTTTGCATGTATTCCATCGATTCCCACTTACTAATTGAGCTCCATGTACATAGAATTTTCTACTAGTTCTCCATGTACAAAACTTTAGCTGTTCTGAATCTTTTTGCCATCTTGTTTCGATGTATTACTTTTTTCGTCTCGTAAAAATTGTCTATGTTGAAATAATTATAATTTTTTTAGTCTTTATTGTAAATTAATTATCCTAACTTTTTTTACTATTGTAATTTGATATAATTACAATACAGACTATTTTTTTTGAACGAAGAGAGAGTAATAATTAGCTAGTTAGGTGTTGAATCATAGAAGTAATCTTAAATTAACAACTTCGTGAACTTGATTAACGATTGACATGACGGCCCAGGCTCTTTGGGGTGCCGGTGCGTTGCGTGTGCTTGTGCCAGCAGCCACCAGCCAAAACAAAAGCAATATGTCCCCTTTTGTAGCCCATTATTGCTAACTAGACGGCCGGTTCTGTTTGACCAAAGAGATTAGCAAAAAAAATTTTAGGATACTCCTTCGAACAATAAAAATTGGTCCGAAAATGAAAAAATAAAAATCATTGTTTCTTGCTAATGAAGGCTTCCATTACACATGCCAAATGCTGAAAAGTACGTAGAGAGTCGAATATATGGCCTAATCTTGAAGGGAAAACGACAGTTAATGCAAAGCCCCTAGTTAAGTAACCACAACTTCACTCTGCTTCGAATGAGTTTTTCGTACAAACACTACAAAGGACAAGTCAATTGGGAATCCTAGCCAGGAGGCTTAAACAAAGGTTGGAGTGACAGAGCTTAGAGGCCAAATGGCCATATATGGGGATAGGCCCATAAGACCTTACAAATTAAGGATTGATTAAGGGAATACGAGAACATGTTTATGATTATTAATTAATACTCCATCTATCCCAAAATGATTGTCCAGTTTAAATTTTTATTCTCCAACCTGGATAATCAGTTCGGGACAGAAGGAGTATAACTTTGTAGTCGATTTCTTGGTTTTATTAATAACGAGATGCCCTTAAAGGGAGTTGCTCACGCTTGTACTCTTTTTATTGATTTGTGTATTAGTTTTCTCATTTGATGTATTAACAAAAAAAAATAGTAATAACAAAGTTAGAGGCTAAATGGTCCCTTTTTTTTTGGTAATCATGCATATATACAATGGCTACTGCCTTACAATCCGTCTAAAATATATTACACCTATAATATCGTGGTTAAGCCACCAAAAGGCACCTAGAGGAAGTGAATCCAAGCGGGTTAAACCTACCGGATTCCTTGACGCAAGTGAGGCCTTGTAAATGCACTCTCTAAGTTTTACATGCCATTCTCTAGACATAAGCTCCCTAACTGCTGCCAAAAGTCAGAGGCTAAATGGTCCTTGTTTCTTCATGATCAAGATTTTCAATTTTTCCTCCATACAACTTTATTTCTTCTGAATTACGATAACTAAGGGTAAATAAAGACAATTCAAGGAGAAAAGAAAAATGAATTAAGATGTTAAATAACATTCTAAAAAGAATCAAATGTTTTTTTTTTCATAGAATGACTGGTACAATTCTCAGAACGGAGAGATTATTACATCCAATTTGTTTATTCGAATTTAGTTCATAACCAGTTTAAGTTACACACTTTACAACATACGCAAATATATACACATATACAAACTGACTGCAGACGATCTTCATTTTTGCCTCAGTTCAATATATAGCAGTACATAGAATGCTATCTTAAGGAGCAGAAACTCTAAAGAACTTCTGTATATATAAATGCTGAAATCTATAAAAAAAAAAAAATCGTTCAGGGAATAAATTATAAATATCTGGAAAAGTAAATGAAAGGAGGAAATTTCTCGTTGAAAAGGGCCTGGCAATCTGGCAGCGTCGATGACAACTCAAAGGGGCAAAATTAATAAAAAGAAAGGAAAAGGCATTTTCAATTTACGTGCTGAAGAAGGTATTTGGTATAATTTGAAACTTTTTTATTAGGGCTCTTTAGGACCTTGGATATGTCACAGTGGTCCTTGACTTAAGCTCCTTGTAATCTTTTCGGCATGTGTATTGTCTGTCCATTGTTTGTTCTTTGATTCTGGAACCTTACACGTGCAATCGAATGATCTTTTTTTCCGTTTCTCAAAGTTGATATCAGATGTCGATTCCGGCATTCTGCTTTCGGTTTCTCGCAATTCATCCCCACCTCCGGATTTTTGTTTTCACGCAATAGATAGTTACTCATTCCATCTCAAACCGATGATTCTGATTTCTGACTGTTACACATTTTGAAATCGTGAAAATAGTTTGTTTATGTAAGTGATAACCCTCAGATTTTAATATATTATTCCAGTTATTGGTCGTGAAGAAGTTGGAATTATTTTTCATTGACCCCTATTGGGACAATGAATCACACATCGCCATCGTAAAGGATCTGTCACATTTATAAGTATCAAATGTCACTCCACTCATTGCCAATTAGTTTTGAGACAGAATTACATATGGATTTATATGGGTCTTCAAAAACAAAACTCACTTATTATTGGTTGAGCGATATGTATATCGAAAGGAAGCTGGTTTTTTTTTTTACACACTGAAAGAAATCTATAAACAACTTCTACCAAGTTACATTACGATTGAGTGTGATACTCTAATTATGATACAATTAAGATTTTGCAAATAATTAGAGAGGAATCAAGGATTCGAATTCCTACACTGTCATTTCTTTGAGAAGCAATTCGAAAAGAAACTGGATTTGAAAAGTACTTTTCATGTAGTATATATGTGTACTATTCACGGCGGTGAGGGTTTTATATTATTAACTTAACGACAACGAATATGTACTAATAATCTATGATATTATTAGCGTTTACTTAGGCTGAACATAAAGAGAATTTGAGCTAACTCAAAAGGATGGCTACTTAATTAGTTCGATTCTTTTATGATGACTTTGAGAGGATTGAAAGAGCACATAACATAATGATGATGTTATTAGTTAGACGAAATTGATAGTTAACTTTCCCCTTAAACTAATGTTGACGTTAATGTACATTAGTACTGACTGATCGTGATGATCGAAAAAAATGTCCCATTTGAGTCAATGTAGAAAAAAAGTCATAGTCTACAGTAGCTGAGAATATGTACTCGCGCCATAGAGTTGGTTTTTTCGTTGGTTTTGTTGTTTACCAACTCTATCTATCTACGGATGATAAATTCACGATTGATTCGTACTTCTTTTTATTAAAATTATTGTCTTATTTATCATGTATTCTAAAATAGAAAAGACTATATTTTAGACAATACATTCATATTATTTTACTAGGACCTCAGCTTGTCATGTTGACGCAATGCATTGTGCTTCATCGTTAAGCAAAAGCTGCAAGACATAGTACATGCTATGGATACTGGATAACATAAGAAATGTAAACTCCTTTTGATTTTTTTTTTTCCTTCAAAAAACATACATAGATTAATTTCCATTTGATTTTAACATGTACATTTCAAGAGGTAAAAGGAAAAGTATTCATATAATTAGTTTTCCATTCACATACTTAAACTCAAAGCCAATTTAATAGAGGAGGACCTCATGAAAACTAATGATACTAAAAGTATATGTAAATTACAACCATGAGAGATAACATCACTTTTTTTATACCCCCTCATCTCAAAATTATTGTCCAGTTTGAGATTTCATTTTTAGTACAATTTGAATTAGAAATGAAACTCAAACTGGACAATAATTATGGGACGGAGGGAGTACTTCTTTCAACTTAAAATAAAAATCATGTTCATAGCAATGAGTGAGTACTCCGCATTTTATCACATTCCATATGCAAGTCCGGCCCTTACTGACATTTAATTGATGAAAATAAATTATGTTTAGGCTGGTTTGCTAACATTGATAAAACTAACACAATTGATAAAGAAACATCGGTACACTAATTTTTTTTGACAGGCTATACATAACCAAACTTTATTGAGACAACGCGAATATCTATTTCCAAGGAATAATAGTGTGAGAAGTAAAAATTGAGTGGCGTAAACTTCACGATGCCACTCTCTGTTGGGGTTTTTGATAGCCGATTCATTTTGTCCACCACTTTCCTCTTCTGCCTCTAACACAGTCACACATATTTACTACTCATTACTACAAAATTAATTATTATTAGCTGCACAATGTCACGCATTCCAGTACATATCAAATTATAACAGCGTATTTAAATAATCAGACAAAATTGTAGTTAACATAAAAAAAAGAATTAAAGTGCACATTTGTCGTTCTTATACTCACTCCAAGGCTACAAGCAAACAAAAAAAGAGAGAGAAATAAACACAAATGAATAAAAAAGGTTGACCATTATCGAAGCTTCACCCGTAGTTCACTGCTTTTGCTTGTAATTATTACTAGAGGTTTTATTACTCTCTCTTAAAAACGGAACGGCATGAACAACAGTTCTCCTAAAACAAAGTAGTAGTAGATTATTGTTTTTAATACGAATATTGAATTTTATTAGTGTAAATTAATTTTCTAAGACATAAACAACAGTAATTTACCCTAGCGACACTCTCCATTTCTTCCTCTCCTTGCTTTATTTTGTAAGTAAGCAACATAGCCCGACATACGCATTATCGAACGAGCAATTAGTTATTTTTTTTGTAATTCATCCTCTATTTCCAAGGTTAAAAACACACTCCCATTTACTTTATTTTTTAATCATAGTAAAATGAATTTATTAATCATAGTAGACTCCCTAGTTTCCAAGAAAGAAAAGGAGAAATATATGTAATATATAATTTGTACAGTGAAATAAACATACTCTCTCCGGTCGTTATTATAAGACATTTTAATTTGTCCTAAATTTATCTAGTATGTTCTTTTAGTATAAATGTGGTTATTGGAAATGTGCGTTTGGGATCACTGTATGGCGAGTTTGGCTTTGGAGGTATGCCAAAGTTTTCATCGGGAGAGAAAAGGTTCTCCAGCAACAAGTGGTCAGTCGAATCATTTGTTGATAGGTGAAGTCAGTTATGAATTGCGATCGGCAATTGGAACTCGTTGGTCGTGTGAAGAATCTTGTTTGGCTGAAATGGTCACCACCGCCACATAGTTGGTTAAAGCTTAATACATAGGGGGCTTTCAAAACTCATACAAGAACGGCAAGTGCGGGAGGCTTAATACAAGACCGTTTGGGTCGATGGTTATGAGGTTTTTTTTTTTTTTTATGAACATCGGATTTTGTTCGATCACCAGTTCTGAATTATAGCCTTGTTTCAGGGTCTGTACCAAACCTTAAAACTAGTTGGAAAATTCTTGTGGAAGTAGACAGTTTGGGTGTTTGTTAGAATGACTCTCAGGGATATGGATGTTTATGACCCGAATAGAGGGTTGGTAATGGCCGTTCGAGATCTTTTGAAGAGGGTGCTAAAACAACTAAGACATATACAGCGGGAGTTGAATTTCACAACAAACTCACTAATGGCTTTAGCCTTTAGCTATGGTTAGCCCTGGCAAACTACAAATGGTTAGATGATCATTCAGATGTTGTAAAACCTTGGCTCCAATATGATATTGTTGATGTCTCTTATCAACATGTTGTAATAGCCTAGTGTTTTAGGCATTTGCCTTCTCTCTAATAGAAAAAAATAATAAAATAAAATCGTAAAAAAAAAAAACAAAAGAGTAGTTCTTAAAATATTTTTTTAAGATAAAATAAAATATACTTTTTTTAATATTTATTTTTAGTTAAAACTAAAGATATTTAATTTTGGTGTTTGAAAAATCATAAAAGAAAATAAAAGTCACTGGAGATTATACTTCTTTCAAACAGAAGTTTTGTTTTTTTTAAAAAAAAAAAAAGAAGTAAAAATGTCTTATGAAATGGGAACATAATCAGTAAGAAAAACTATATACTCCTAAATGATACTGTTTAAGTGTCCATTTCCCCCACATTAAACAAATGCCATGTTATTTTAATTTATGGAAGTAATTAAGATCAAAGGTCTATTCTTTACTTCCTATTCGTTGGCTCGTAAAATGACAATGATGAAGATAGTTCTTTAATTGTGTCACTCATATAAGCCAATTATCAACGTCATTATCAAATGTTGATGATCAGTTTACCGTTCATGTGTCCTTTGCTGTTGTGTTTGTTAGCTAACAACACCTTTTATTTTCAGCCATCACTAATCTTCGTTTTGCACGCATTTCATTTCTCGCCAAATCGCCATCAATTAGTATTAACACTCACGTCATTATATGTAGTTTATATAAAAAATAAAAAAAAAAAAGAAAAAAGAAAAGAAGGAAAAGTCTACTATTTTTATGTTTTTTTTTTTAGTATTTTACACCTTTGATCTTTGAAGTCGATTAATTCGAATTTGAACTAGTACTCATTTGTCCCTTTCAGGATAAGGGAAAAAAAAAGGAAAAACAAAAAAACCAAAACCCTTGCAATTTTTAATGCAATTTGTACTATAACCTCATTTTTTAAAAAAAACAAATAACATAATTAATTGTCATCAATGTAACGTCTCTCCAAAGATTCACCAAAAACTCCTTCACAAGTCTTTGTCACTACTTTCTTCCTTGGTGGCCAAATTAATTGTGACTTATGCATCACCCAAACTTCCCAATTTTCTTTTCTATCCCACCCACTAAAAAACCTCAGGATAGGAATAATAATTGCCTACGGTACACGGTCTATAATTACTTGTTTGTTAGACCCAATAATAAATATACATATTTTACGAGTAATGATGCTTTATACTAGTATACAGTACATTTTTTTTTTGTTTTTTGTTTTATAAAGTCTAATTAGTTTGTGTATGCGTCGGTCTAGTCATAGTTTTAACAAATTTATTTTAATGCGAAAATCATTCTCTTATTTAGTGGAATATTAAGGGGAAAAAACCTTTTAAAACGTGAGTGTGACGGATCACATATTCTTTTGTCGATGGATTAAAGATGTGTGAGTTGTGCCCTTATTATTGTGACGATGATCAATGTAGTAATTCTAGTGAAAAATGGCATAGAGTTTGTGACCACATTGGATTTTTTTTTTTTCAAAAAAAAAAAAAAATATTCATAATGAGCTCCTCACTTTCTGCGTTTCGTGCCGGAAAACAAAGTTTTGTGAAAATCATGTCATACTATATACTAAAACAGAACCTCTTCGAAAAGTCCATTATACCTTTTTCCCGCTCATTTTACCTACTCCAGCTAATGTGTCATTTTCTGGTAATTTAAAATTAATTTTATTTTTCTATTTTACCTCCTTAGTTTGGATGACTGATGTGTCAAATTTTTTCCTTTTTCTTTAATTTTTTAAAATCCCTTTTCCTTAGTTTAATACCGCATGTAACATTGTTCTTTATGTAATGCATTAATTTCCATGATTTGTAATAAATAACAATTAGATAATTTTTTTCACAACATACATGTTTCTTTTTGGCTTTTGCATTCCTTTTTGACTTTTGCATTTTCTCTTCTAATCCTAACTCCTTTCTGCATTTCCTTCTCCCTCTTCTCTATCATATAAAAATAAGTTCTAATAAATAATTTGTGTTAATTAATAATAGTAAATAACAAATAATGGTTGTATTTGTATACACTCATAAACATTGTTCATTAAGTAAAAACTACTCCCTCCGTCTCATAATTATTGTCCAGTTTGAATTTTCATTTTTAGTTCAAATTGTATTGAAAATGAAATCTCAAACTGAACAATAATTTTGGGACAGAGGGAGAATTTATTTTCATATTTTATTTTATTTTAAATTTATTTTTATCAATAACACCGATGATACACATGAAAATTAATAGGGAGCCCGTGAGTACACGGAATTTATCTAGTTCTATATAACAAAACTTTGTAAATAATAAATCATAGTTTTGGCCCTTATAACCGAATAAAAATATAATCGGCGAATATACTACACTTTTTATTTTTTCCATTTTCAACGACATGAATGTACTACCTAATCAAAATTATGAAACATTTTTGAATTCCAAAGAACATTTTAGTAGTAATTGTTTTTCCCCCTTTTATTTTAATTAAGTACCTAATGACTCCATAATATTCCACCATATAATATAAGAACAAGTCTATGACACTTTTCTCCTTAAAAAAAAAGGTCTATGATACATAGTATGATATACACTACTTCAAATAATATATTTTTTTCAATATGAACAGTTTAAATATTAGAACTAGTAATATTTAGGATGAGCTTAGACTTTGTATAACAACTACTACTAAGATACTACACGTGTATTTTTACTCAAGCAGAATGATGGCTAATGTATGTTTTGCTAAACCATTTATTTTTAATGTGTATTAAAAAAAATTGTGTACTAGATTAAAAAATAGTACTGCAGATTTTTGTTTACCAAAAAAAAAAATAGAGATTTTTTAAATTGAAGCCATCCTACGTGGACCTCTGAAACTCGGCGAGTATGTTTTCTAGTCGCGCTTTCCAATGAGAAAAGAAATGTTAAAAAGGAAAAAATCAACGTCAAAACGTGACAAACGTCCCTCACGGCCACAAAACCCCACACAAACGACGTTTACGTGTACAACTTCCATAGCACAGCGTACAAGTTCCCAAAGCGCACACACAACAATTTTCTCTCTCACACAGTCACACAGTGGGACGACAGTTATGCTCTCCAAAATCTCGTCCCCGTAGGCCAAGCCGCGTATATAATTTCGCCGGCTCTCCTAACGGTCATTTTTCCGGTCTCCTAAAACCACCACCCATACTAAGCTTAATAATAATAAACCCCCCCACAAACTCCTCCATCTCCCTCCATTTTCTTCCCACTCACTTACTCTCAGTCCAGATAATCAGGCACGAATATAAATGTAAAAAAAGCATTCACGAGTAATCTCACTCAATCATCAATTTCTTTCTTCTTTTTTCGGATTTTCTCTCCCTAAATTTTAGTGCAATTTTTTTTTTTTTTTTTGGGTGAACTTAGGGTTTCTTAATAGTGTGGATTTTGTTAATTCAGAGATGTGAAGATTTTTGTTGCGATTGGAATTCAATGGTGGCTGCTGTGTCTGCGAAGACTCCGAACCCTAAGATTTCATCACACGCCGTGAATAAACCTCAAATTAATGGTAGGAATCCGACTAATGGGCAGCAAAATCCGAAGCGGCCGCCATTGCTGCCTTCGGGAGCTGAAAATGGCCCCGCTGATCAGCTCCGGCGGCCTAAATCGAGGGAGGTTACTTCACGGTACTTGTCCTCATCTTCCACGTCATCGTCTTCTTCGATTTCCACATCTTCTTCTTCCAACTCCTCGAATTCCATCTCCTCTCGCCGGTCGGCGTCGCCGATGGTGTCGAGGACTGTGCCAATGACTCCGGTGGTCCAGAATTCCGCGAGGCGAGCGCAGTCTGCGGAGCGTCGGAGACCGGTGACGCCGAGGGGTGCGGCGGTGGATATGGAAATGTCGAGTGCCGCAAAGGCTCTCCTGACGTCAAAGAGAAGTCTGTCTGTGTCTTTTCAGGGTGAGTCGTTTTCAAGATCCTTAAGTAAGGCGAAACCTGCGCCTTCTCCGGCTCCTTCTCAGTCGGCGAATGGTTTGAGTACCGTGAGAAGAGGTACGCCGGAAAGGAGGAAAGCTACGCCGGTTAAGGATCGTTTAGAGAATTCCAGTTCAAAACCAAGTGATCAGCAGCGTTGGCCTGGGAGATCGAAGCCGATGAGTTCAAGCTTCTTGACTCGGAGTTTAGATTATGGCGCTATTTCTGCCAAAACGGGGTTCAGTGGATCTGTGAGTGCTGTGAAATCATTGCAGAAATCTTTGATTGCCGATAATGTGAGGCCAAAAGCAGAAACTAAAATGGTTCCTGATAAGAACAATTTTGAGGCGGAGAAGAAGGTTGAGCCTGTTTCCGAGGTAAATTCAGCTGTGCTTACTTCTGATACTGCGCCTTCGGATAGTGATAGCGTTTCCTCTGGTAGTACTTCAGGAAGCTTGCCTCAAGCGCGAGGAGTACCACGGGGTATCGTTGTGCCAGCAAGATTCTGGCAAGAAACTAATAATAGGGTCCGAAGAGTTTCAGAACCTGGTTCACCAGCATCGAAAACCAATGGAGCAAAAATTACTAGTGTTTCAAAATTTCCTCCAGCAAAGATGTTTTCAAAGGATAGCTTTATATCATCCCCTCGGGGATTATCCTCTCCAATTCGAGGGGCCTCCTCTCCTATTCGAGGGGCTACAAGGCCGGCATCACCTAGCAAGTCTTTGACTCCCTCAATCAATTCTTCCTTTAGAGGGGCACCTAGTCCGGGTAGAACAAGGAATGGTGTTACAAGCATGTTGAGTAATGATGTCTGCAGTACACCATCTATTCTAAATTTTGCTGCTGATATCAGAAGGGGAAAAGTGGGGGAAAATAAAATTGTTGATGCACATGAATTGAGGTTATTGCATAACAGACAGTTGCAGTGGCGATTTGTCAATGCCAGAGCAGAGAGTACTTCAAGGGTTCAGACGGAGATAGCAGAGGTAGTTCCAGTTGTCACTGTGTATTTATTAAAACTTTATTTTACATCTTCTCTTTTCATTCCTAAGTTAGTTTTTGCAGTTTTAGTTTCACTTGTTTGTGAAAAATACATCTTTTGTAGCTTTACATTCTTCGTTAAAGATTTCCTTATTCAAGAATCTCTGTGTTGTAACCAGCTTATTGCATGGCCAGCTTTCTGTCTGTGGTTCATATCTAGGTTCTAAGAGGCCAAGAGATTATCCCACTTAGAATTGTAGTTCAACTTTGAATAGGATTGCTATCTTCTGTATTCTAATGGCTAGATTCTCGATAGAATATTTGTACGTATGATTGTCGGACAGGTTTGCATAGATAAACCGTGGGATATTGGAAGAGTAGGAAACTATGCTGCAGCTACGTGAAAGTAAAGTGACTACTAAACGTAGCCGGTGATAACTCTAGCTAGCCTATTATGTGCTTAGGCTAAAGTTTATTGGCGAAACATTATTCAGCATCCGATAGCTCTGCTTCAGGTCTATTAGGGCAATGTATCATTGAAGTCATGTGCATTTCTGTTGAAACTGATTAAGAAAATCAAGCTACTAACGTAAAGTCTGCTTTTAAGTGACTGATTAAGAAAATCAAGCTAGTAAAATGTAAAGTCTGCTTTTAAGTGAGAAGAGCTACATGAGCTTAGCAAGTTAAAGAAACATGGAATGAAATGGTTAACACATTCAATGCACTCCATTATGAAACTGCGAAATAAATAAATTGTAGCTCTAAGAATGTTAAAGGATAAATCAAACGTGGATTTCATGGCAACAATTGAGTAAATTCTGGTGCTAATTCCAAGAGTATTGTCCTCTGTATGTTTACATATTTTTGTGAATGTTAGAGCTCGCCCATGACTCTCTGTCATCATTATTCTATTCCCTTGGGGGGAAGACGCTGTTGCTGTAAGTCGAAATCTTTATAATGCTAAGCATAATGCTTTCTTTGAACTTTGGTCTGTTTTACCATTCTTTTAGATGATTCTCACTTTCATTTATTTCTACCAGAGGACTTTGTTCAATGCCTGGGTGGCTACCACTAAATTGCGGCAATCTGTCATATCGAAACGCTTGGAACTGCAACTACTAAGTCAAAATTTGAGGCTATTCTCCATCCTTAAAGAACAGGTAAGGCTCATTAACTTAAATCGTGATACTCCATAAATTCTGCGAGTTGAATCTGTACATGTTTGCATCGTAATAATTTCGTGAAAATTGGTGTTTTCTGCTAGTGGATTTTACTTTCGCAGTTTCATCCTATATGTTAATGAATACATGTGTCTGATCTAGTATTTACAGTCGTTAACCCTGGAATTTTGTCATTAAGGAGTGATTTTCTGTTAGTGGTTCCCGTTTTTGGAGTGTTGTGCAGTCTCAATACCTCAGAGTGGGATCAAACCTGTTCTTTTGTCTCTCAAAATTGAGTTTTGGTTACCTGAATAGGTGTCAACCAGTTAGAACTGTGTTATTTCGCCTATATTTTTCCCTTCTATTTAGAACTGTGTTATTTGCCTCTTATGATTTTCCTTACTATTTTGAACTGTGTTATTTGGCCTGTTTCTGCGTAACTCCTTATCAGTGTATTTCTCTTTTGAATTTAGGTTCCGTTTTTGGATGACTGGGACATGATTGAGGGAGATCATGCCAATGCTTTATCAGGCGCTATAGAAGCTTTGGAAGCCAGCACTGTTCGTCTTCCTGTTGTTGGGGGTGCCAGGGTACATGTCTACCTACTGTAGCCCGCCTTAGTTTGTCGTGCTTGTTTATGCATGTTCTCATTCTTTTATTGTTACCTTTTGCAGGCAGACATTCGGGATGTTAAAAATGCCATGGGTTCAGCTGTTGATGTGATGCAATCAATGGGATCCTCAATATGCTCCTTGCTCCAAAAGGTGATTTTGGTTTTGTTCAATCTATGAAACCATTCCTTTTTGAATTGTTTGGAGTAGTAGCAGTTCATATGAGAAAATCAAAATTTTCTGCATTGTTTCATGTTGAGCTTTGCTCTAGCGCTGGCAGTTTTATCTGTCCTTGAATTACTGGCACATTGAATGCTACTTTTTGTGTACTGGTGGCAACACATTACCAGCTAGTTCTTTTCCAGTCAAATTATGTAATACCATAAGGTGTTAAATTGGTAGAGAGAACAAGAAGCCTGGATCTGTCAGCTCATTGAGATACATACGTTTAGATGTTCATGCATGCTAAATAGATCTCCATTTGTTTTGTCCATAAAGATAAGTTCTTGGAAAGACTTCATAGCAGAGAAAACTTGTCTTCTTCTGCTGGTAACTGTAGTTTTGGAAAATTTTATTTTGTATTGAACAGAGTCATACTTTCCTGGTAAATCTGTGTCTAAGTTTCTGTGATTTGTGAACTATAGCTGTATTAATCACAGGGTGTGAAGTGTGATTGTTCTTTGAGCAACGGTCAGGTATTAATGAAATGTGTCTTTGTATGAATCACAGCAAGGTATTTTTTTAATACTATTGCTTCTTGTTTGGTAAAAGTCTGACAAAGTACAAAAAGGTGGTTTTTCCTTATTCGAGTCCTCTGAAAGCTGATACTCTTGTTTTCTTCTAAATAAGGGCATGTAAATGATTAAACCTGATGGCGGGCTTCAAATGTATGTCCTGGCCTTCCTGAACTGGTAGATTTTCCCATCTTGACTATAAGAAAAGAGTGAGCAACCTAGAGAAAATAAGTAGTTGATCAATATAGTGGAAAAGCATTCTGAAATAGTTATGTCCTTGTTGTGCATATAATTATGCATTTTGTGAGCCTCTAGACTTTTGTGCCTGATTTTCTCCTCAAAAAGATCAAATCAATATTCTCAATGTACCTTTTTTTTCTCTCTATTTCTCTTCATTTGGATTTTCCCAAATTTGTTCCTGACACCTTGTCTGTCTCAGCAGGTTGAAGAAGTCAGTACAAGCATGTCCGAACTTGCTAGCCTCACTACCAATGAACGTGCCATGATATCTCAATGCAAAGATATGCTATCCAATATAACAGCAATGGAGGTAATAACGAATTTTTCCGTGCACACGTGTAAACTAAAACTAATGCATCGCATAATTTGTTTAGAGCTCTTAATCTATTCTGTTTCAACAGCTATGAATCTTTGTTGCTCATTCCAAATGAGATAAAATGTAATGCGTGGAACCCTCTCATGATAAGATTTTATGCGTGATATTGTGCTTTCTCTCCTTTCACCATAGGAAAGCTGTCCAGTTTTGATTTTTTCCGCATCCTCCTCAGTTTTGCTTGTTGAACATTATCTGCCACTCGTTTTAACTTTCTTTTGAAAATTAGAAATTGATTTCTAGTGCATAGAAGCTTCTCCTGATGAAAGGTTGCATTTCAGGTGAAAGATTGCAGTCTGAGAACACACGTTTTGCAATTAAGACGTACAAACCCCAGCTTAACTACTGAAGTGTAAAGCTGATTCAGTCGACTGACCTAAACACCTAACGTCGCTTACCAGGAAGCCATTTTTTTGCTTTGGAGAGATGGAATTTTGTGACCTTAAAGAGGAATTTTGAAATTACGAACCAAAGGATTCAGGACCTTCTTCAACAATGCCGGAAGTTTTCATGAATGTGTTTAACAAGGTACAAAGTTGATAGGATATTGTGTAGGTAATGTAGAGATATACTGCTCGTGCCATACATAAATGGCGTGGTATATGTTTTGTATATATATGTGTAATGATGCTCTTAATCCCATCCAAAAGCTCTCTTTTGCCATGTTCGTGTGGAATGGACCTCTTAGTCTCTGCCTTTTACTGTTTTCTCTTCGTGTTGTGATAATGGCTTTAGTTCTATCGCCGGAAATGGAAAAAATAAAATGGAAAAAGTGAATGATGTTATTCATAAGTCTTTCTTTCTTCCCTCTGGGATTCCCAGGTTTCAGTAACCCATACTCAAGCCGGCAAATGGGCTGATTTGGACTACTTGAGATTGGTTTTTAATAGTTACTAGTATGAGCGCGGGTTTGTCAATGTTGAAAATTTATCTTCCAAAAGAATTAATTAGATGATGTAGTTATTAATATTTCTTAAAACTGTAAAAAAATTTTGATTAATCAATTTTAGATAAAAATGAGAGGTATTGATATTATTTATGAGATGTATATTTGCAAGATCTGGCCAAAAATATTACAACAAAAATTTTAAAAAGTTGTATAATAAAAATTTTCACCACTAACTAATGTTATGTTTGGATTAAAAAATATATTAAAAAATACGTAAATTATGTCTGGCTTATTTATAGGCAAGGGGACTTTGGGGATTAGACACAATTAATCGTCCTTGAAAATGTAAAATCGATAAAATTGAAGACAAAATAACACATAAATAGAACTTTAAAGGCTAAAATGATAATAAGTTAAAAGTGATGCTTGATGGTTTCAATTAGCGACACGTGTGGATTATCTTTCTTTCCTTTAATATATATAATGATTAGTTTAATGGGTAAATATCTATCCATATCCATTAAATTTAATGGACTTAAATGGATGGCTATTAAATACCCATGGGTATCCATGAATGCATACTTATGGATATTCATAAATACATTTAGTGAACTTGGTAATATAAATACATATGTTACTAATGTGTCCCGAGCCGAACTTAATTGTCTCAGTTCTTTAGTATAGGGACCTAGTTGTAATTATTGTAAACACCGGTACTATAAATAGTCAAACCGGGGCTAAAAGACATTAAGGAATAATAGTGTATTGAATTGATTTCATTGAAATTGTGTGACGTTCCCAATTCCTCTCTGGGTTTCCAACCCTAACAACCCTTCCACCACCTACGATTCACCGGAGATTCCCCATTTCCGTCGATTCCGCTCCGTGGATTCCGCCACCAGAATCTGACAAATTGGCCTCAGAGCCAGGTTGTTCCTTGGCTGCTCTTCCATTTCTTCCACTATTCTCTCTGGAAAAAAAAATTCCCTTCCAGTTCGAGTTTTGGATTCGATTCGATCTTCAACATTCGGTTTGATTCTTTCTTTCTCGGCATTAATTGATTTCGTTTCCGATCAATTGATTTCCGTTCCTTCTTTGGAAATTGTCTCTCTGCTCTGCTCCTCTTGTTGCGTAATTCGAATACTTCGATTTTGCGATAGTTCTTCTATTCGATCCGGTTCATTTTCCGATCCAATTCTTGAAATTCTGATTACTCGTTTCATTTCTTGAATCCTTCAATAATCCGAATCTTAAGTCTCAAGATGACTAGTTCCCGTCCTGTTGTTTAGGAAACGATGAAGTATTCGTTCTCTGAGGCGAATTCAGTTAGAATCGGAACCCTAGAATCAAGAATTGAGCAATTGGTGGCTTCGATTGCTGCGAATGAAGCAGAGAATCGCCGAATTTCATCTGAGAATGATGCGAAATTCAATCTGATCATGGAGAAGCTATCATCGCTCCAGATGCCGAATCCAGAGAAGGCGCCGGTGCAAGAATCTGCTTCGCCGTCTACGTCAGCAATTAACCGGTCATCGGAACCCTAGAATCAAGAATTGAGCAATTGGTGGCTTCGATTGCTGCAAATGAAGCAGAGAATCGCCGAATTTCATCTGAGAATGATGCAAAATTCAATCTGATCATGCAGAAGCTATCATCGCTCCAGATGCCGAATCCAGAGAAGGCGCCGGTGCAAGAATCTGCTTCGCTGTCTACGTCAGCAATTAACCGGTCTCCGTACTCTCAGACGGCCTCTGATCCAGTGAAGGTATCGTACAAGGCTGCCACTGACAAGGTGATGAGGTTCACGCCGGCCAGTTCATCCAAGGGAGTGCGTGCAGAAAAAACAACTGAGCCACGCGCTGGTGATACTGTTCAGTTTCAGCAACAGGGGACATTTGGTCCGATGTGGTACCAACAGCCTCGTCTCGATTTGCCTGAGTTCAAGGAGGACAATCCACAGGTGTGGCTTCAAAAGTGCCGCAAATATTTTCAGATTCATCAGATACCAGAGGCTGAAAAGGTGGATTCTGTTGAAATCTTCCTGGACAAGAAGGCTGAGATATGGTACCAGGGTATCAGTAAATCCGTCGGTAAGCTTTCTTAGACCCAATTCTCCGAGTTATTGATTCAAAGATTTGGTAGTAAGTGTGGACAGAGTTGCGTAGAGGAGTTTAGTAAACTATTTCAGACTGAAATTGTTGGTGAATATCAGGAACATTTTGAGGAACTACGTTCCAGATTGTTACATTTAGGCTATGAGTTTGATGAAGATTACTATGTTGCTTGTTTCATTAGTGGGTAGAAAGAAACCATTAAGCCAATGGTTAGAATGCTTAACCCTAGGACTTCAGCTGTTGTTTTTAATATCGATATGTATCAGGAATAGAACTTATCTGCTTTGTATGGGGTTGGTCATCTTGATTCTGGTCAGTCTAGTAGTTTGCCTGGGAATTCTATGACGTTGCTGCTAGTAATGAAACTGTTATGCAACCTGTTAAGCTTGGTAATAAAGGCAATGGAAACCAGTTGTCAACCTCTGTTGGTTCAAATTCTGAAACTAAGATAGGGTATAAAACTGATAAAGAGAATATACCCTTGGATAGTCAGAGTACTAATGTTTCTGTTGGTATGAAACATGCTGGAAATAGAAGTTTTGGCAACAGGTACGTGAAGAAAATGTCGCCTCAAGAGTTTCAGTATAGGGCGAATAATCATCTCTGTTACAAGTGTGGGGAGCACTTCAAGCCGGGGCATGTTTGCAAACTTGGACATGTTAATGTCATGCTTTGTGAGGAAATGGCCAAAGAACTTACATCCGACAGCATCATCTAGGCAGTGGATGGCGAAATGGTCGACCTTAATGATCTAACCTTGGATTTTGAAGATGGTAAAGGCTGAAAAAGGGTCATGATCAAGTTCGGTTGCTGTTTGTGACTGCTTCTGTTCTATGAGTTCCAGGAAGATCAACTTGGACTTGTTGTTTTGAAGCCTGAATTAATGTTTGATTTTGTTTCCATTCCTACTGAGTTTTGTTGCATTTTGCCTAGTAGCTGTTGGCTTAGTTGTTGAGAATAAGGAAATTTGTCACTATTACTGTTTGTTTCAGTTGTAATAGTCTTGAGGTCAAGACTGAAATAAAGGGGAGAGATTGTCACGAATCGGACTTAATTGTCCCAATTCTTTAGTATAGGGACCTAGTTGGAATTATTATAAACACCGGTACTATAAATACTCAAACCGGGGCTAAAAGACATTATGGAATAATAGTGTATTGAATTGATTTCATTGAAATTGTGTGACGTTCCCAATTCCTCTCTGGTTTTCCAACCCTAACCGCCCTTCCACCACCTCCGATTCACCGGAGATTCCCCATTTCCGTCGATTCCGCCACCGGAATCTGACACAATGTAATAAATATGAGCCCAACTAAATAAAACGAAATAATAAATTAATTCTTCCATGCTAATATGATTATTATGAGCCCAATAAGTTGGAAAATACAAGTGTATATTTTATTTAAACAAAAATTCAAATGTGACCCAGGTGAAACATAAATCTTGTTATTCTCCTATATTAAAATTCATGTTGGTACTTTACTTAACAAAAAAATCAAAATTAGACCCATGTATCGTGGCCCGATTATTGGGTCGACCTAACTCGACCCAGTTAACTATTGCTTGAAACGTGAAAATTTGAAGTTCAATGAGTTTGAAAATACGAGTATAAGTTTTATTTGAACCAAAAAAAATAATAAAAAAGAAAATTCGTCCGCTTATCGTGACCCGGTTAATTAGTTGACCCAGTTTGATTCATGGGTCGATCCAGTTTCATTCATTGGTCGACCCGGTAAAACGTGATAGAAAACATAAAAATTATTAGTCTCTTAAGTTAAAATTCATGATTATACTTTATTTTTAAAAAAAATCAAAATACGATACATGCACCGTGATCTGGTTATGGGACCGACCCAATACGACTCGTGGATCGACCCAGTTTAATATGGCTCGAAACGTGAAAATTAGGTTTTAATGAGTGGGAAAATGCAAAGTGTAAATGTTTCTTTGAACGAAAAATAAAAAATCGATCTGCGTATCGCGACCCGATTGCTGGATGGACCCAACTCGATTCATGGGTCGATCCATGGGTCGACCGATAAAACTTAGTAGAAAATATAATTATTAGTCTCCATTAAAATCCATAGTTGTACTTTATGTTTTTAAAAATCAAAATTCGATCCATGTACCGTGGTTCGATTCTTGGGTCGATTCGACATGACTCATGGATCGACCCAGTTTAATATGGCTCAAAACGTGAAAGTTGAACTTGAATGAGTTAGAAAATACAAGTGTAAAATTTATTTGGACAAAAAATAAAAATTCGACCCGTGTATCATGACTTGGTTACTGGGTCGATCCACCTCGATGTATGGGCTGACCCAGTTATACTTGTCGTAAATGTAAAAATTTGAAGTCCATTAAGCTATAAAATATACCATTGTTAAAAAGTAATTTTACGTATGGGTCAACCCGTGGGTAAACATTTTATAGTAAATCAGTTGACTCATAACCTACGCCAACTTATCATGACCCAACCCGTATATGATCCTTCCTTAAATGGGTTGGGTTAGGTCGGATCATGGCCTACTTAAATGATAATTGTATAGATTGAAAATATAATAGACTACCTGATGGATAACTGTGGACTATCCACATCCGTCCATACAACTTTTTGTCCAGATCCACCCAAGCTCAACATTTTAAATGGATGGATATTTATGGATTAAAGTCTTATGGATTTGGATAGGTAGTAAGTCCGTGGGTATTCTTGCCAGCTCCAACCCATACCATGAGTACGGCCAACCCACTACTTTTAATCCATTTAGTGTGAATGCTCACAGGCCTGGTGTTGTGGTACACGGCTGGCCTACAAAAAGGCCTGGGGATCTTCTCCATGTCAACTGGATCAATAATTTCAATATCCATCATCATTTTCAATTTTCATTATCATGGGAGGTGTTCTTCTTTCTTTTTCTTTCTTTCTTTTTTTTTTGTGTGAATTATATGACATTTTTTCTACAGTCGAATTGGCGGTATGCTTGCAGAACTTGACGAATGTTAAAAATTACATTCATATTTCTAATGGTGGGATAAGGGCAATCAATTGTTCTTTCTTGTTGTAATGTCACAATACTCACATCCATCTCAACTACAGTTTTTTTCCCCCCCAAATTTGGTGCATGAAGAGAATAGCATTAGACAATTGATGTTCCAGATAAAGCTCAACAATCAAGTTTTCTTATTTCATAAAATACACTTTGAAATTGGGTTTGGTTGAGATATGGTTAAATGTCAGTAGCTGGAAATGCATAGACAGTAAAATGTAAACAACCATGTAGTTGAAAGCAATGTGCGCTTTGAATTTAAGAAAGTGCCAAATAATTTCCAGCGGGCATCATGACAGCTTCATTGGCCAACCTTCTTTTAATATATGTCGTTTTTTGTCTCTTTTTTTTTTCAATACCCTTGCATTGCAATGAAAATGGTACGTAAAAAAAGATTTTATTTGTCAGTGATGAGTTATATGAATAATAAATATGGATAATTTTGTATTTAGGCACATGATTTAATGTTCTATTGATATTGGTGAAATTGCTATGAAGATGTATATATTTTGAAATAGAGGGTGTATTTTTTCTTTTTAATTTACCCCCCTCCCCCCCAAAAAAATCTTTTATTTGCTCTTCCTTAGTTCCTTTTTGTTTGCTAAAGAAGCTAAAGAGAATGAAGAAGGAAGGAAGACCTAGATGAGAATGAAGAAGCTAAAGAGAGGACTGCTTGAAATTGAGGCCTCATTCCTAAAAGCCTTGAAGATCCAACACACAACCAGTATAGGAATTTGGAAACCTTGCATTCAAAGTGATTATTTAATAACCAAAGTGGTTGTGGTGGAGTCCTCTACCCTTAACCATAGGTCGAGGGTTCGAACCTCGTCAGTATGGAGCAACCTTAAATACCTTGGCCAACTGTCTCACTTATCAAAGTGCTTACAATTCAATGAGGGGGATTAGTCACTGTTGCCGACGGTGACCACCTTACCAATATGAAAAAAAAAGGTGATTATTTAATTTGTTGTAAAACAATCCCAAGAACAAGATAAATTTTTACATTTTTTAGACAAAAAGAGTCAATAAGGATTAAGTGATTGTCGAGAGAATTTATCGGACTCATTTATGAATTAATTTAGTCGGTCATTTTTCCGAATGTGTACAGTAGTAGTAAGAAAAATATATGGTGTAATTATTATATTCGTAGTTGGGACAAAATTGGTGGACCCAATTCACTAGGGAAGCGGCGAAACGCAACCTCCTGTGGGAAATCGTTTCAGGTTTTTTTTCTCAGCTCTTTTGGATGAGTTTTTTTGTCCGCAGGAGGAGTCCGGACAAATGTTTATCAGCGGAGAAATTATTCATGGCGGCTGTCGTATCACGTAGCATTGTACAGTTAAATATAATATTAAGATAAAATAATAATTTTAGAGAGAGAGATAATTTCTACGAGAATTATACCATCAAAATATGGGTGATAATACTTGTTGTACTAAAAATACGGATATAACAGCTGTACCCGATAATTTTTCTTATTTGCATATATTGGACTTTTGTTAAAATACTAATAATTCAATTAATGCATGACATGGATTCCACTCCCAATGGAGGAGAAACGAGAAAACTTTACGGAGACGACCTCTGCTGATGCATACCGCATTTTTTCAGCTCCTCATAGTTTTTTTTTTTTTTTTTTCTTCTCCTTTAATAAAAACTATTTAGTCACTTTTTCATTAACTCTACTTCGCCTAGTAATGATTCTAAATTGACTTAAACATCCTTCAATGGCTTCTCTCCAGTCCTGTTCGCGCATTCCAAACAAGAGAGGGAAGTTTTAACAAAGGAGGATAAGAAAACAACTTCAACGACGGATATATCACGTTTTTATGTGTTTCATGCAATTATATTTTGGCACAATTTCGCTAACGATAACCATTAAAGTTAATGGAAATTGCAGATGGAAAGAACCGTGGTCAGTTAAGAACAGATTTTTCAATGAAATGCGACCTTGTAAAGATCTAAATAATCTACTTCAATTTCTTTTAACGATATTTATTAATTCACCTAGCTCCTAAGAAAAGGAGTCAAGAAAAGAAGATATGTATCTATTACAATTTGCCGATTCTCGACTCTCTGAGTTTTCAAAATCAAAAACTCAAGGACGAGTAATATTTGTCTCGTTCTACTCAAACAAAACAAAAAAAAAAAAAAAAAAAACAGAGTTACAAAGAAAACTCATAGTTCGTTAGTGGGTTGCTAACGTCATTTTACACAAAAAGATTCAACAGTTTTGGCTCTTTCCCACCACCAACTCCTCCAATTCCCGCACCACCATCGTAACATCCGTAGCTCGCCGACAGCTCCGAAACATCCGTCTCCGACGCCGGAGACATCCTCCGATCAGGCTCGATCGTCATTTCCTCATCATCGTCATCAGATCCGTGAACAAAATACTCCTTCGTGCACTTCGCTCGCCACGAACCGCCACGCAATTTTTCCGACGCTTCGTCGGATTCAGCTCCCCAATTCCCGACGACGCCGAACATCGGTCGTAACGTACCACCGGCGAGCACCGTCTCCACCGCCGATTGGCACACGTGCCAGTTACCCGTCGACAACAAACCAACAGCTCCGCTCACCGGATTCACCGTCCGGCCACATGCTTCGAACAATAGCGACTGAAACAGAGCTGAAAGGAACCAAACAAAAAAATCAATAACGGGAGAAGAAAAGCGACGCGGATATTAAAATTGAATCGGGTCGGGGCGTATACATACCGGATCTTTTGGAGTCAGGAACGGCGGAGATGAAGGACATGAGATCGCTGCGGCCGAAGAACTTGGAGACAAAAAGAGTGGCGTTGGATTGGGCTTTTGGGGTATCAATCCAATCCAAACAAGGCCTTAGTGGGCATCTCTCACTGCATCCTCTTCGGAGTACTCGGCAGCCATTGCAACTCATTTTTTTTTCCCCACTTAACTTCTTCTTTGTATATTCAAATTATATATTTCTGTATCTTAGTGTAGAATTGCATTAATTTTGGCTTAAATTTCTGCCTGGGATTTCTTGAACCCAAAGTAAATGGAAGGGGGTGGAGAGATAAGAGAAATGGACCTGAAGACTTGGGGGAGTTTGATCAGTGTGATGGGTAGTGTGTGTCTTATATTTAGACTCGTACCCAGAAAGGACAAGTGCTTGTGGAGGTATTGTTAAAGTAACCATGGTTAACCACAGTTAAGACAGTAGACTTAAAGTCTTTGTTAAATTGGCGGCTACCCCAACCTAAACTAGTTTAATTATTCATTGGAGTTGCATACTCCGTAGCAGTGAATGACACTAATGTCACTAATCTAACCATGGTTAAGGAATGGGATTGTTTGTGGCAACTGGGCAGCGTGAGTTTTTCTTGTTGGTGATATGATGTGTAAAGATAATTGTTGGAATTTTATAATAATTATTTAATAAAAAAAATGTGGGGACAAGGGAAATTTGGTGGGTCATGGATATGATAAGCTGGGAATATCTTCCACACTTTGGGTTCGAGCGGCTGCGTTTTTTCGCGGCTTTGAAGTATGACTCGTCCTCCACCGTTGGATATAGGATTTTGCTTTCCCTCAATTTTCTTTTCTCCTTTTATTCCCCGCCCCCACTTTTGTTCATTTTCCTCCACCGTTGGATTGTGGATATTGATTCTAGTTGAATTTATGGAATTTGTCATAATTTATACTCTATCTATTCCAAAATTATTATCATGATAAATATCTAAACTGGACAATAATTTTGAGACGGAAAGAGTATGTATTGGGATTTTTGTTTTAGAAAAAAAAAAGAAGAAGAAGAAGAAGAAATAACATTACGCTATTGCAATTTGCCAGGATCGATCTCTGGATTCGATTCTTTGGTTACTTTAAAGTTGTTTAAAGTTGTGTTGCCTATTTCGCTTCATGATTTGGTTCGCAACTTCGAGTATCAAAAAAGTTTGCAAGCTTCAGTTAAGCCACGCAAACAAAATGTCTAGGTTGGAAGTGAGTAAACTGAATTAAATAATTGATGTTGAACAAAATGTTAAAAGAGATAATCGGATACTGTTCTTGTCCGGAAACGGAAATGGCTTACGGATTTAGATTTTTATTTCCACCACAAATTATATTTAAAATGAAAATCTAAATATAACAATCATTTCGTGACACTGTGAATGTACTTGAATTTTACTTTAGGAGTACAATTAAATTGAATGTTCTTCAACATACATGAATGATCAACTTCATAAAAGGCATAAAGAGAGATAAAATTGATCGACATGTAATGTACAGTTCATTTTCACTCATAATTGTTACCATTATTTTTATGTTCATTGCTCATCACTTAATCAGAAGCTTGACGACACCTCCTGGTATTTCTGGAAATACGTAAATGCTGTGCTTGTGTTTTCTATTTCTTCCAGTACTATTTAGATTTTAGACCAGTGATGGAACCAATCTCAAATGTTTACGGAGTCGAGTACATATATAAATTTTTTTTTTCTGAAAATATTTTAAAATTATAAGGTAATTTTTTAAAAAAATTTGCCGACCCACCCTCGCCCCCCCTGGTTCCGTCCCTGTTTTAGACTATACTTAATGTGGGGGAGGGAATATGCTTGAGAATTGTTCAATGAATTTGGGAATCATGAGAGATTTGCCTTTAATGGAGATCAAGCCGAATCGAAATTTAAATTGGTTACTTGATCGAGACTTTTCATATGTTCATTTGGCCTGAAAACAAAGGGATGTTATGGCCTGACCTGAATGGCAAGGTAGCTAATTTTGAAAGGGAAAAGGGAGAATCTATCATAACCATATGGACTCTTCATTTTGATTATGTAAACATCCGATAAAATTAATTTGAACGATGCAGAGAAAATCAGTACGTATGACTCCCAAGGATGACAGGCACAAATCCGAAATAAAATACTATATCTACACTTATGATAAAACCAATACATTCTTCACTTTGTAGTAGGGATCTTTTTTGTTCTAGCACTCTTCTAATGGAGGAGTATGATTAAGTTCTGCTCCCCGTTCCCCCCCCCCCACCCACCACAGTAAAAAGAGTATGAATAAATGGGAGAATTTTAGTTCTTGAGGCTCAATTTAGGACTTCGGAGGAAATAATTGATTTTTTGATGTATGATTTTCAGTTCATTTGAGGTCATCAAGAGATATCTGAAGAATTTCAGTTCGTTGCGAAAGACTGCATGTGCATCTGATATTCTCATGTCTATGGGATGATACTAAAATTAGGCCAATGCCCCAAAGTAAATGGAATAGCTTAATTTATTCATACGATTTGGAGCAACATGACTACAAATTTACTACCGGAGGATTTGTGCGAATGGAATGCACAAGAATAATAGAGTTTAAGATGGTAATATCTTATCTGAATGATTATTCCTCCGTAAGTGTAGGATGATTGGTGAGTCTGTTTTCTATGGATAACCTTTGGAACATTTCACTTTGTAGAGTTTCTTTGTTCAAAAAAAAAAAAAAACCAAGAAGGAATGATAAGTACTACTATAAGACTAACCTAAAAAATTGTTAATGAAACGGACGAGGTTTTTTTTTTAAATAAAATAAAATAAAAATCGTGCTTATTATAAATGTATGAGTGATTTACATATCCATTTAAAAATGAAAAGTAAAAAAATTTCAGTTCTGTTAACCATGAAAAAAAAAGAAGAGGATTGTCCATTGTGGTTAGCTTTTAATATCTCTTTGATAACCATTTACTCTTATTATTCATGACCTTTTCACCTGCAAATCGTAACACATATAAGTAAGTAACTAAACTTTATACGAAATTACGTAAGAACAAAAGATTTTTACAATAAAAATTGGAGAAAGAATGCATAAGGAAAATATAACTTGTACCTAATATAATTTGAAGATGAAGATCAAATTTGGCCAAATTTTTCCTAGAGTTACAAACTTGTATTAATATAATAGAGAAAATTGTCGATTTTTTTTCATTAACTTTCCTTAAACTTTGTTGTTTTTCGCATATATTACCTCTGGTACTTATTATAAAGTATTTTTATTTGTCTTACATTTTACTTATTATATTTTTAATAAAAAAAATATTAAATTATATTTCACATTTATTGTGTTCTCTTAATTATCATAAAATAATTTTCATTTTTTTAATTAAGAAAACGTACTAAAATTTTATTTTCATTTTTTTAATTGAGATAACGTACTAAAATTTTATTTTCATTTTTTTAATTGAGATAACGTACTAAATCAAACCTAAGACAAATCACAATGCATTATATTATATTTATACTAATGACCGGAGTATATGAAAACACGGCAGGTGCCTATGGCATGTGTGTTAAAAGTTAAAACCCTGAACTGTCGTCAGCATTTTCTTATTCTCAAGTCATTTTGCTTCGGCCAAAAAAATTTCCAAAACAAATGTAGACAAAAATAATTTTTTTCTATTTTTGGTGGACAAAATTAGTTATCTCGGATTTGTCAAATTCGTATCTATCCATTTTATACAAATCCGAATCTACTTATTATAATTGATTCATCACATAGTTATAATACAAGGAGATTCGGATTTGACACAAAATAAATAAATTCGGATTTGGCAAATTTGAGTCAACTAGATTTGTCCACGCCACTCCGACACATATATTTTAATCCAGGTCCTTCCATTGAAAATTATTTAGGTAAAAAACTTTTTCTTTACTTATTGTCCGTAAAACCCCAGCAAATGCTTGCTTTGTTTCTGAATTTTCGTCCGATTGGCGATCAATTTCATCAGTTTTCCGGTTGGCAGACTGCGATAACCTGCCTGCAGCTAAACTAAAGGAGCTTCAGCAGCGTCATTCTGATTCCGAAGGGTAAGTTTTTGTTTCTTTGGCTGATTTTCATCCAGTTCTTGTTGGCCGCTGTTTTTTGCCCCAAATTTTCTGTGCTAATCGAGTTGAGAATGCATATTTTTGTATCTGCCTTACTTGATAATTGAACCCTTGTTTGCATTTTTCCCTGTATTTGGAAAACCTGCGTTTAGGGTTTTAGTCAGCTTCCCCTGGTTTTGGAGTTTCGAATATGGAAATTGAGAGAACCGACGAACGTCCAGCCTCCGGCGACGGCGGCGGCTTTCACGGCGGTGACTTTCCGGAATGGTTTCTTTATAATCTGCTAACCACACTTCCAATTAAGGACTTGTTCAGATTCAATTGCGTTTCCAAGCAATGGGCTGCTTTCATGTCAGACCCCTCCTTTGCTCATTCTTATATCTCCAAACTGCTGTCACCACGACCTGGCCAATTTGTCTTTTTCCGAGAAGAGGTCGGCGAGAACAGGGTAACCAAGGTGGGATTGCTCTGAAATATCCAGAGTTTCACTTATTTACTTTACCTATCCCTCGTTTGGAAGGAAGATTATCAAGCTCGAGAGGAGGGCCATTCAATGATTTCTTAGGAGGATTGAAATGGGAGAAGGTTTCTATACTGTTGCAGACGACAAGGGGTTTCTTTTGGTAGGTTGGGTGGTTCCAGTTAAACGCGTTATCAGACAACTCAGATGCAGCGGTGAATTTTTCATCTGTAGTGCTATAACTCACCAGTGGTTTAGCCTCCCTTCCTCTCCTCCTGAGCCTTTTGTCGTAGAAAGTGTGGGTTTTGTGACATTAGAAGAATCTGAAAGGTTTTTGACTACTTACAAAGTGGTAGTTCTACTTCTACGGTTGAAAATGTTGCCGTTGGATACATTGACCTCCAGATTTTTTCTTCAGAGACAAGAATTTGGGTACCCATGAGGTTGCAAATTGAACATCTGTTTATGTTTTATAGTTGGCAAAGACCTATTCTTCTGAAAAACACTCTTTATTGGACGGATCCTATGAGTGGAATCTTAGCCTATGATCCTTACATGAACCCTAATGAGATTCACTTTTTTGAACCACCGAGCAAGGATGTCCGAGTAAATGGGTATACCACGGATGGGTTTGGACGGGACTGTTCCACTTGTGGCGTTTATCAAGGACGACTCAAATATTTTGAAAAGGCCAAAAGCTTGATGGATGGATCGTGGTAATTTGTGAAGATATGGGAACTCCAGGAGAAGAACCACTGGTGCCTTCAACATACAATCAGGATTAAAGATGTTGATGTTACTGATGTTAATGGCTTTAGTGTTAACACTGCTGTATTCCTATCATTTGATCAATTAGATCCAGATATTGTGTATTTGAATATGCGTCGCATTTCAGGAGTGGCATCATTTAACTTAAGAACTAAGAGTATGGAAGTTCTTGATTCATCCTCATTCATGAAGGGAAAATTTACTCTCGTCAGTTACCGTCACTGGTTTCTTCTGAAGCTACCACCTTGGCCCATTTTGATTCCACCTTTCCTTAGGTGTAAGAACTGATGATTGATAATTTACATGGATTCAAAGTAGAATGGTGTGATGCAATCAGGTTGGTCGTATTTCATGCCTGTGACTTTTGGGGTTACAATTTCCACATCTAAGTGTTAATTTTGGAGTTGAATTCATAGTAGCCATAAGTAAGTCATAGTTTGGATTGTTGTTGGATGCCATGATTAACAAACCTTTTAAATTTGTTTAATTTGCTCCAGGCTTTAACTTTCTTGAACTTCAGGCTTGCCCCTATTTTTTTGGTTACAAGTGTGGTTACTCCATTCTTCTAAACAAAGTTGATTATCAATTTGGTATTATGACGGTATTTTCTATGAACTAGTAGAAAATGCTTATCATCTCTATTTCTTTCAATTATAGAGAAAAATAAGAAAATATAATCCTATTTATTTCCTAAATTCACATAGTTTTATCAAAACGGTCAGTAACTGAATAGAAATTGTAGGTCTTGCGGTTATCAATTGTTAATGTTTATCAATTAATAAACATTAACTGAATAGAAATTGGATTGTTGACCCTTGAAAGGAGTAAATTTTTTTGGAGGTTGATGACTTCGTTTTTCTTTCTTATGTCAATGATTGAGGGGCAAAAATACTACTGAAATCAATGTAGCAGAATTGTTTTTCATTTATATCTTAATGCAGTTAAGCTAGTGTTATCAATATGTTAGAAGATGGTTTACCTTTTGCGGCCAACAGGCATCAGTGTTGAGTATAAACAGTATGCATAGCGAGTTTAGGGTACTTTTGCACATTTGCCGGTTCGTGAGTAATTTCCTTATCAAAGATAGGTTGGTTACTAAAATTGGTGAGTAGTTTCCTTATCAAAGATATGTCTGATCTAGTATTTAAAGGGCTCGGTGTTGAGAAGTGGAGCTATCCCGGGTGATTTTTTATTGGGCAGATATCATGAACTTTTTTGTCTCTCGATGTTTGATTCCTCATTGGGTGTTTCTTTGGCAAGTAAGCTGTTTCTGTATTTGCTGGTTGATCACTTTCAGATGATGGTTTTCTGTTTGATGAACATAGGGTTAAAAGAATGGTGACCCTGGGGTGGTTAGAGTATATTTTCTGGTATTGATCATAGTTTCGTGGGTTGATATAGATAGTCTTCTTAATCCAAAGAGCTTTTGTTTTGCATGCTGATTTTTGTGTGCTGTAATCTGTATTTGTCCATCTATTCACATTGCATTCTTTGGTCGGTAAAATGTTCTGGCTTTTTGTTACATAAAATGCGTGAACTTGCAAGACCTTTTGTTGAAGGTCCTTTATACAATATATTCTGTTTAATAGATGGAAGTTTCCACGGTTAGGCTGAAGGTGCTATTTTCTGTTATGAGATTTCCTTTGGGACACACTTAGTACTCTCTTCTTTTGGTCTGTAGTTGCATGTTCATTTTGTATGATAGTTCCATGAAGAGTGTACCCGTTCAACCTGTGGTTGTTCACCTCCTGATACCAGATTGTAATCTGAAAATATCTTTGTCTTGCTGCTGAAGGACCATGTTTTGCTAAAACTCCTTTTATGTGTGGATTATATATAAATAGAAAAAGAAAGTTCTGTTATGTTAAACTTGCGAGTACAAAAATAGTGTGATATTGAACTGTGATCTCATTTATAATTGTTTTTTGTTTGATTTTCAGGGCAAGCTGGTAGATTGTTTCATTATCTAAACCTCACAAGAAAGCACAGAAGGCTGCCATCTTTGGTAATTCCTCCTCAATGGATCCATAATGAGAGATATCGATGTAATTCTAGCGGATGCTAATATATGTGGTTGAGATTTTGGTTTGGCTGCAGCACCAGTTTGCAACTGCAATACTGAATAGGACGTTAAACTGGTATCTAATTCTAACCAGGCTGTTGTGCCCCCAAAAGAGTGAACTGTGTTTTGGGAAAGCCAATTTGTACATGCATCTTGCCCTTATGAAGACCCTTTTATTCGAATTCTTTGGCAACTGCAACTGTCTTTTAGATGTGGGTTCTATATATCTCTTATCTACGTATTTGATCTTTTTCTTTTTCTTTGACAACTCAGAACATGATAATTCAATTTGGTGCAGCTCTGTTTTTACCAAAATACTAGTAACAAACTCTCTTGCTCGTACTCGTCTATATACTTGTATAGACATTTTCTAGGACTGTAGTACTTTTTTTTTTTTTTTTTGAAAAAAGGACTGTAGTACCTTGAGTTTACAATCCCATCTTCTGCCAAATGCTGGCTGTCCATAAGGGCCAATATACATTAAACACTAGAAGATTCAACTTTTCAGGGATCAGGTAATTATATTCTTTCTTTCATTGCCAAAAGACCTGGCAATTTTGGCAGAAAATGCTAGTATAATTTGATCTTTTCCTTCATCGAGGTCTTGCTCGTCTAAGATAAAGTATGCACATTCGAAGCTGAAACCTTTGCAGTTGAATCGCGCGAAATTGACTGCACTCCGACATTGAATCCTTGAGCCCTGAACATTTGAACTTGATGCGTTTCATCGGAGCGCATAAGTACAGGGTAATACGTTCACATCCAATGAGATGTTCCCCGACGGGGATGCAGTTTGAACAACACCCATCATCTGGCAAAAACCTAAAGCTTGTTGACATCCAGGACATCAGCCATATAAATATCAGTAACACAATAAGTACTTCCTGTTGTAAGGATGTTTGCAATAGTCCGAAGCGCAAAATAAGCGTATATGGAGAGCCCCTTGAACTTATTGACATCTATCAAAGTGAAATTTAAGCATGAACAACGATAGATATAGCAACAAAGAGTGCTATTAGGTTTTGCATTATTTTCTTTTTTGCCCAGACCACACAAAGTCCTCTTTAGCATTAATTAGAAGCTATACTTCCTCCGTCTCATTATAATAATCTTTTTTGTTATAGTATTATTTTTATTTTGATAAGTGAATTATAAAAATGTGATAATTACTTTACGTGCGAGTGAGAAAAAAATATCACCAAATCAACTGAATAAGATATACAGATGTGATTTTTTTCCCAATATTTTTTTTTTTTTTGGTTTACTAATAATGAATAACAGCTGGTTGACGAAGAATATATCCCTTTCACCAAATATGCACCGGCCAAATTTGTGAATGAAAGTCTCAAGTCTTTAAATATGTAATTGGGGGGTTAGAAACAATCTAGACCCTTCCACCCCTTGATGCTTTAGCCAGCAACATCTTCTCTTGTTATTCATTAGAATGGCCAATGGGTTAGGGTGTTAAGGAGCTGTCTCCAATTTGAGTTCGGCTTTGATAAACTTAAATGTTATGACATTACGTGTTACGTGAATGTAACTTTTAGATAAGGATTGACTTATAATATAACTCCCATCTTTTTGTTTGCTTTATTAGTTCAAGACACCCGTTTTGAGATTAAAAAAATAATAATAAATTTACATAATTATTAACTAGATTATTTTGCGATGAAAAAGAATAAGAAATATTATAATTTGGAGTAGACATCAAATCCACACCCTTCAAGTAGTATTTGACGAGAGACTAATACGATGGGAGTTGAGAAGTAAATTAATGAGTGGATTTTTAAACTGCCAAGTGTAATCCAACTGGTGTGTATGTAAAATCTGAGGTGGCCAGACGACTTGACTTCATTGATCATCACTGATCAGCAGGCTTAAAAGCTGTCCAAATCTGGGCTAAAAGTTAATGACAGGTGGAGACTGGAAATCAAAGTAAATAAAACCCATTGAAGCATGCCGAAAACCTTCTGCTGGCCGACTCTTAATTACTTGATGAGGTAATTTGTAGGCAAATCCATCTAATACCATCATAAGTGGAAGCATTATCCTAATTCCACCGAATTATTCTTTTCTAAGTAACATCAATCTTCTGGATCTTTACACTCCTCCACGGTCATCCTCTATATTGTATATCACAATTTTATATTCGTTTTTTCTTAAACTAATAATCTTACTTATTGTACTACAATAATTATTTTCGACGTAGTTAAGAGAGTATTAAGAAATTATTGTATGGTGGAATGGGAACCAAAGTCACCCATTCCATGTGGCAATCCTTGTGGAATCAGTTCAGTATCTTCCACTTCTTTTACGAATTTTCTCAATTTATTACTTCCGAAGCATTATTTGGGCAAGTTGCCTTATTTTCCTTGATTTAATGTAATTAAAGATGACAACCAGATTGACGAAATTCAAAGGAACTGAATCACAAGACAGGAGATAATGGCATATGAGATGATGATTTTTTTGTAGTTATGTGTATTATTACCAGTAAAAGGGGGGAGAATTCGTCGACTTTATTTTACGATTTTGAGAGTTTACAAGGGTGAAATGTGAATTGTTTGATTGCCGACCAAGACCGACGAATTGAAATTGGCCGAAAATCCTCTTCGTTTTCTTTTTTTATTCACAGGATCGGACAGCAATAGTGCTACTATTAAATGAGCTCTTTCGCATATTACTTTACTGTTCCTAATGATTGCCAGGCACGATTTTGATCAGTGGAATTATGGTTTGGTTGAGCGATAAATCTGGCTAAGATCTCGATCAAGCTTAGCTGGCTTTGTGTAAGTGAAAGATCAATTATTTATCATTTATTTTTTGGTCAGGTTGTCACCCTTTATTTAACGACTATTAAATTCAAAGTAATTACAAGATAATTTTTGTCAAATGCATGTGAGTTGTTGCTTTCTCGGTTTTTATTTAGATTTTCATTTATAGTATAAAATATCAATCATTTTAGACAGGAAAGAAATATTTTTGCCGATTCTATTCATAAATTACAAGTAATTATATCATTAAAAAAAGTTGATTAACTTAGTTACTTGTCTAAAAAATAGAACCATTTTTTTTCTTAAAAAAAAACCACTCCAGTGGATCCTACTTAAATGTGGTTATAATCCCCGTACAACCCTTGGTGGGAATTGAACCCTGATTTATTATTAGAAAAAACAACAACCTAACCACTAGACTGTTATTCAATTTTCAAAATAAGAACTAATTATTTATATTATCCTAATTAAAATCTGTCTTCAAATTGTTCAATTTAGAACTTGGTTATACTTGTAATAACATAATAAATTAAATTTTAAAAACATCATTACCTTATGTAATAAGTATTGGAGGGAGTACTACTTCGTTCGCTTGTCGAGTGTGAATGTCAATACGAAGCCTTTAGTCTTCTCTACCGCGTGGCCGACTTAATCTAATGTGGGAAAAACACATCTATGAATTCTTTGCTTGTACAGTTTGCACAAATGTCGCTTTTCTAGGGTCAATCTGTTTTTTGATTAATAAAGTAGAGTGTACTACTGAATTAGCAATAAGTTTGGTTGGAATTAGTAATTGCGTTTGCGGGCACTTGTGCTTTTAGCCACTCTACTCTTTATCTTTTTCTTGGCCATTTGTTTGCCTTTCCAAGACCTTAATTAACAACACAGCACAATGCTGCATTTGCACTCTAGAAGATTCGCTTGTTTGTCATTTTCTCGGATTTCCGATTGTAATGCCTGGTTCAAAGTTTGATATCCGGTTAGAAATGAGTTTGAAAGTATTCCGAGTGGGACTCATTGAGAGAATAGAGAATGAAGAAAAGCATTATTATTGGGTTTGAAAGTAGTCTCAGTTGGATCCACTTTCTAACCAAGCAATAAAATTAGAATTCAAACCCATCCAAACCCATAAAATTAGAATCACACCTTCAAACCAAGCACTTCCTAAATGGGTGGGAGCATGTCATTTTTATGGTTATCAAATATGGTTAGTTATAGTAGTAGTACTTTTTAGGAACCACTCGGAAAAATGACTAATTGAGTGGCATTCTTTATTTAGTAAACTTGCGTTTAAGTTGGTTTAATGCTCAAGTAGGGGGAGGTTTTTACCGGAATTTCTTTTTTCTGACTCTTACCAGATTTTCTTATTACAATGCAAAAGCCGGTGGTAAATGAATTACGCGTCCAACGTAACTCCACGCACATTTTCCTCATAAACAAAAAAGCGTGAAGAATGTTAGGGAATCAGCGGTGTTTCCGAGAATATCACAAACATTCTGGGTCAAACTACGCCTTACTTGAATCACAAAAAAATTACTTGTAATAAGTATATTTTTACTAGTCCAAATGAGTGAATATATATTTCTATTTCTTCATCAATTTTTCTTTATGCGGAAAAGTATGTTTCAAATGAGTAAATGACACGTATCATATTCAGATAGAAGTTAGAAATGTAATTTTAGGACGCCGGTAGCACAAAACAGGGATTAGGAAGGAGTTAAACAATACTTTTAACATCAAATTGTTGTCTTAATCAGAAGCCAAAAATGACGAAACCATAAACAACTTGAGAGGGTTCTAAATCTTATCCCCCCACAAACCGCCCGCCCCTCCATGCCGCCTCAGAGGTCCCCGGCCCACCCCTCACATCTCATGACTCATCACCCTTTATCACTCTCTTCACCGTCTCAGAGGCCACAAACACATATATAAATGAATTACTTAAATAAAAAACTCCAAAAAGAAACATATTATTTTTCCTCCAAAGCCTAACAGCATTTAATCTCAATTTTGTCAGCCAAATTGCCCTACAAATGTACTCCACTAGACACATTACAACTAACTTCACATAATCTGTTTACTCTATAAAGACATAATTTATATGCATAATTTAAATCATTTTGATCCAAATCAGCTGATATCACTTTAAGAGGTGACTAGATAGGCATGCATAATGATGGTTAGAGTTACTGTACTGGTGGCCTAAATCACTTCTGTTCCAATTTGTACGAGGAAATAATCAAAAGCATTGCGCTCAAATTAATTCTCTTATTTGTATTTCTGTTTTTATAATAAATTAAAAAAATTCACAATTATTTTGGGACAAAATGAATGATAAAGTCATGAGAGATGACATTCTACCCATTCCACCATTCATAATGCGGTTACATAGGATGATTATATGACTTATATTAAGGTTTTGCACCACTTGTAGTGGGTGAAATCTAGGGGCTAATTTCTTTTATTAATCCTGAGAAAGGGTGTTGATTGTTTTTCTAATTGTGACTAGTAAGACTCAAATGGACCACGAAGTTAACACTTGGTCTTATAATTTTACGGTGGAAATTCATGAGTTGCCAGAGTTTTGATGACCTCATGTTTTGGTTTAATAAAAATCATGGTATTTTTTAGGGTTACCATAAATTTTGCAAATTTTTTGAAATTTTATCTCCCTTTTACAGAGTTTAGTGGAGAAATGTGGACATACTGGACTGGTTTCCAATATATAAAAATGGAGGGGGCTTTAATAATTTTTACACATGGTATGTAACGTATAAATAAACAAAATATAAAAATTGAAGAATCTAAGGAGAGGCACATGTTGAAGAACGCGTGAACCTCATGGCCTGCCTTTTGCACAGTTAAGAAGAAGGAAGAAAAGAAACAGAAGTTGTGCTTTTTAGCAATGTTGGTTGCCATATGATGATGATATCCAAGTGGCTTCAATTCAACCTCATCTATCTCGACTCTATTTCATTGATTTAACTACCCAACAATGCCAACCCAAAGCCCCTACTACAGTACCCACAACCACTACCCCTCACCAGATTCTATACTAATCAATCACATACATTAGAAATATTACTAACTCATGTTAATGCCCAATATTTGTTTATTGCATTCACAATACATACAGATATATAAAATAACAACTGCTATCGAGTTTATCTGCTCAGTTAAGATTAATATATGTTATTGAAGTACTGGCTCTTAGTACAGTAGTTGTAATAGTTATCGAACGTTAAGAATAGCAAAATTGGAATATTAATGAAAAAAAATCAATTTAATTGATCACTGTCATTATCCCAGTTGAACTGGTATTTACACAAACAAATTTTCACTAAAATGAATCGAATTAAATCCCAAAAAAAATAAAAATAAAAGGCAAAAAAAAACCCAACAAATTTCCCAATTGGAAAATTCAACTACTGCTTCTAGCAAATACTATTCTTTTTCTAGCGTTTCTCAACTTTGACCGGCAAAGTGAAACGTATTCTCTTAGCTGGATGAGGACTTTCCACTTCGTCGTCGCCGCCGGTCCAAAACTCCGGCAAGGCAGGTAAGTTCAAGTCAAAGTCCCTATGGCTGTTGGTCGTTGTAGACCCCACACCTTCAGAGGAAGTCACCCCGCTACTTCCGCCGGCGGCGTGCGCATTTCCACCGCCGCCAATTGTGCCTTCGTAGTGGCACCGCTTGTGACCGCCCAAAGCCTGTCCGGTGGGAAAGCACTTGTGGCAAATCGAACACTCGTGGGTCCTACCGCTTCCACCGCCGCTAGAGCTAGTAGTAGCCGCCGTAGTTGTAGAAGTCGACGGCTGGTCATCGCTGGCAGCAGCAGCACCGCCGTTGCCGTTTCCGCCGCCGCCGACAACGAGTTTCCGGTGACTAGCCTTGTGTCCACCCAAAGCTTGGTAAGACCCAAAAGCCTTATCACAAACCGAACACTTGTACAAAAGCTTATTAGGAACAACCGCCACATCCGATGACGAATTCACCGCCGGAGGCGGCGGCGGCGGCTTGGAAGAAGAGGCGGTGGTGGGCAAGTTCAAATTAACGGTTTGACCACTCCGAGCAAGCATAACTAAACAGAGAGCCAAATACTCTTCCTCAGTGGGTTGAGCAAGGTCGACGCTGCGTTGTCGTTTCGATCTTTTACCTTTAGCCCATGGCTCGGCAAGATGCCGGAGAGTTGGGTTTTCAAAAGGGAAAGCTGGGCCGGGTGTTGTTGGAGAATTCAAAGCCTCAAGAGCCATCTCAAGAAAACAGAGTATGAAACAGAGTACAACAAAGAATTGGTTTTTTTTTGTTTTTGTTTCTGGAAGTAGTGAATTGGTTTGTTTTTGAGTGTTTGTTGAAATGTTTGTTTGAGAGGAGAAGAGAAAAGAACCAAAGAAGTGAGTGAATTTGATGGAAGTGTAGTGTGGAAAATGGGATATTTATAAGGGAAATGGGAAAAAGGGAGTGAACTGCTCGAGAAGTTGCGTGAGGGGTGAGAGGAAAGTAAGACAGTTGAGCAAGTTAATGTGTTGAAAGAATTTGGCACTACAATATTCTAATTCGGAACGCTGGCAGAAGCCAAAAAGGTAGTGGATTAGTAGTACATTTTCTGGTAATAAAATATAAAATATACTATATTTGAATAATTTTAATTGGAAGGATTTGGGGTTTACTTGGAGGCCAAGTGGAAGGGTGAAATTTTGTGTGCCCAGTTGAAGTCGGTTTTGTGTGTGGCACTGTGTGACTGTGTGTGGGAGGTGGGGTAGGTATCTTGGAGTGGAAGGAAGGAAAGGAAGGAAGTGTGTTTTTGGGAGTGACTGAAGGAGTGACGATGATATGACTTTTGTGGGGGGCTTTTTTTGTGGGTGGTGGGAGAGTGGACTAGTATTATTACTACTAAGACTAACGACTGCGTCAAAGTCAAATTTGTTATATATCTACAGTCACCAAACACTCTCTCCATCTTAATCCGACGCGGTGTGTTAGACTGACTAAACTAAACTCGTGTATTTATTTCTTTCTCCTTCTTAGGTACACGAAATGTAAACCGTGAATTTAATTAATGTGCAACAGTGTAAGTAAGAAGGTCTTTCTTGTTCTATCTAGATTAATTCAAAATTAATGACCAATTCTTTGTTTTACCTAATTTTAAAACATGTGGGTTATTTCTGTATCTAACAGAGTAAAATGCCAATTTGGTTAAGTAACAAAGGATTTGGTATATGAAGTAGTAAATTGTTGAACTTTGTAGTTTTATATGTTTTGGTCAAAAACACACAAAAAAGGAGAAGATTCACATGCATTTTACCTACTATTGTTAATTTCTTTATGTTTCACACTTAGCTACTCTTAACGAAGTTTCCTGGTCCTTTATTGTTCATAAGCCAATTGATTCAAGTAAACTAGGATACTCATCTCGGGGGACTACTATCATCTACAGTTGCTATATACTCTACAAAAAATGAGGTTTAATTTAAAAACTCTCATACACAACCAATTATCAAAAAATGTGATAACATAACCAAAGTATAATATTACTTACTATGTAAAAAAAAAAAAAGTTCACATTGAATTATGCGTTTTATGTTATTTTAAGTATAAATTTGAAAACTCGTGGACTTTTTTTTTTTTTCTTTATGAGAGAGAGAATATTTTCTTTTATCCTCTTAATATGAGTCAGACTGCACCCTCATCCTTCAGTTAATTTTTTCACTCAAAAAACATTTTTTTTTTTTAGAAAAAGAAAACACGAGTACATACTAATAGTCAACACGAGGGCCAATAGATTGGGGAGAAAACAAATTGTCAAGAGTCCAAAGAGGGGTACGTACTACGTAGACATTATTGATGTCAAAGATACAGCAAATGATGCGAGCGCCACGTAAGAAAAAGAAGCTAGCCAGTTTAGCCAAGCAGCCGCCGGCGTACCACTCATATCAATTTCCGGGAAAAGGGATCAATTGGAGTGGCCAATGTATAATTTCCAGGTATTTGGAGTACCAAAATCAAATGCCTACAGTAACAGTCCTAGTGATACAAAGTAGATAGATTTACCAGTAAACTACATTCATGCATCTAATGGCGGCAGCGGTCAAGTTGTTGCCACCCGGCCCCGGCGGCTGTTTGACACTTATATAATTCATGATGTTTCGTGTCTTTACACTTCTTTTGAATCTTCTGACTAGATTAAACACCTCACATTTGACGGCAAAAATCTACCCCATAATCCCGATTTTTCTTTAATGTGCTTCATACCAGAAAAAAAAAAAAAAAAAAAAAGTTAAACTCAATCAAACTAACTGTACTGTTGTTGTGAAATTTAACTCAATTTGACCCGGAATCTTCTGCGTGGAAGCGGGGGAATTGGTAATCTACTTTATACCGTATTAATTTTGATCACAGTTTGTAATGTTCACGGAAGATGGGAATTGTTCGTGAGAAAACAAATATACAGTAGTTTGTAGTATAGTATATTTTTGGTATAAGCCAATGGGGGGGCAGTACAGGTGGTGTGGTTTAGGACTTTACATTTGGTGATTTGGTCAGTTGGAAACAGTGGCTGTATCACTGTGTGGCTGATGATCGAAACACCCACGTGTTGTGCATGCCAAAAAACCACAAAAGTTGGTCACTTCCTCCTAAAGCTTACAAGTAATTCCCCTAAAATTGTTCTAGACTTTGTGAGACGAAAAAGTGTGCCACGAAGATTCTAGAAAAAAAAAACACCCCAATCAAAGCTCACTCTCTGGATTGATAGATTCTGTGACTGTTTTATAGTTGAGTTGAGCCACACCCAACCCCTACTGTTTGAGTTGAAAGGGTAACAATAACATATGCATATCAAAAACGCATTTTGAGACATGTACTTGTAATTTTTGCATCTTTATCAATGGCATATGAGTTTTGTAGAATTTTTTTTTTTTTTGTCTTTTTCATAAATTAAAATACTAAGGACCAGAGGGACTATTTTGTTAAAATGTAAACACTCCGTAAATATAACTGTGTAAATATAATCATATCAATAAGCTGATCACAAGATTTAAAAGCTTTTTCAAGAACCTAAAGAGAGCGCACTCAATGTTAAACTAAAGATATATAGATGAATCCCTTCACTCACTCCTAACATTTTTAATTATTTGTTTGTTTCTTTTGAACATGTGAGATTGGAGTTGCATATGTACTTTGTAGTTAACACTACTTTTCAACATAGTAAACTCAAGATTCTTTACTCTTTTCTTATTTTCATTTTGTCACATGTTTTATGTTCATCATCATCACAGATATTTTATTGGCTAGTTGTCCGTGAGCATCTCAAACAACCAAGTGAATTAGACTTTTGGTTACTATTGCCTACGTATATATACTAGTAATTGCTTTTATACATACAAAAAAGACTCGTGTTTTCATTACAACAAGATAAGCACAACTCATCTTTGCATCTTGCTTCCAGCAACTAACAAATGGATTCAGGAACTTAGAAAAATACACGATCTAGAAAAGAAGGGTGCTGAAGCTGCCAAATTAGGTAAGCAATGACTTCAAAATCAATTGCTTAGATTTTGCCACGAAGTCACGAATTCGGAATACGAACTCCCTCACTCGCATAATGTCAAGTTCGTCTATTCCATTCCTCTTTATCCGCACATGTACAAACTCATCTCAAATACCCCAACATTTTTAATGGGATTTTCTACGTAAAAATAATATCCACTGTACCCCGTTGATTGGTATGTTATTAGAAGAAAGAAAAAAAAAATCAGTATAACATATACACTCGCTTTCTGTTTAAAAAATTTCTAATCATCGTAAAAATTTGTTCGTTGTTTTTATAGTTGTTTCGTTTTAACAAAATACATAAATTTTACGATATCGTTGGTTGAAAGGAACGTAAAATTAATCTGACTTTTCATTTTTTAGATGGGACGAATTGTGGAATGAAAATATATTCGAAAGTCAAAGAATTAAGAAGAGGGAGTTGAATTACATTGTGTTCTTTGAATTGTAGTATGCACGAAGTGGTGAGGGAGTGGCAACTCACAGTAAAGTTACAAAGGAGGAATCTGGATGTTTCGTGGACATAATAATAATATTGCATAAATTTCCACTTTCATCTTGGTATAAGTTTATAGAGCAAAATATATAAAGCATATCCAATGTCAAAAGCCACAATAAGAATAGTCAAATATAAGAGGCTACTATTGTGCTCGCCGTTCCTGAAAAACACCGGTCAACTACCACTACTAAATAATTTATCAATATTCTCAAATTGCACACGCTACTAAAAAATTATTTTTTTTAATGGCTTCAATCAACTTCCCATGGTGGCCTGAAAAATGCTGGTGATATTAAAACAAACATACAGTACAACGATACACCTATTACGGCTTATTATTATTATTTTTTTAACTTATATGATGGACTTGTGATTCATGCATTTGCTTGCCAATGTTGTTTTAATTTTCTTTTCCATTCCCCCATCCACCCCCAAAAGTTTCGAACAGAATGAAACCCTTATCTACAAATTTAATAAAAGAGGAAGAAAACTCTGGGAGTGTGAATCGACCACAATATATTGGGTTTTAGATTTGTTTAGGTTTGAATTGCAATTTTAATGTGAAAAACGTGACTACAAGGAAGCATATTTTGTTAGGCTCATCAAGTCATGAGTCATCTACATCTTTCTTTGGTTTAACGTAGGAGTTTTGTATCCAATAATTAAAAATAATAATGTAAGAGCTACTTGATAATTCTCAATTATTTCAAGCTAGAGCCTCCTCGTTTGTACAGAAAAAATGAACTAAAATGTTAGTGATGATGTGAAATCATATTTAAAAAATGACATAAGAGATAAAATACCCCAAATTGATAGGTATGATGTATAGCATTTTATGAGGTACTTTTAAATCAACATTGAAGATTCATTTCAATCTAATATTTCTAATTTACGCTGTTCAAAATGTAAGCAAATAACTTCAAATCATAATTCAGAATGAAACAATAGACTACTTTAAACTAACATTCATCATAATATCCACCTGTTAATAATTAGTGTGTTCATAAGTTGGAAGTCTCCAAACTGGATAACGTTAGCGAGATATATGGACTGGAACTAGGCCTGTTCTCTTAAAGTAAGGCCAGTTTGTACTTGAATTGGGCTTTTGAGATGTAGGCCTACTACATTTGCCGCTAAACAACAAGAAATCGATTCGGAAAAGAAAATCAGAAATCATAAAAAAGAGAGAGAGGAGGAAGGAAGGAAGGACAGCCCAGACTCACAGAGATGTCGTCGAACTCGCATCAGGCCAACGATCCACGGCTACCGTCGGCACAGCGGCCGTACAAGGCCCCCGCCGTTTCCCCACAAGATCTCCCCGTTGATTACTCTGGCTTCATAGCTGTCATCTTCGGCGTCTTCGGCGCCATGTTTAGAGTCAGTCATCTCCCCCCTTTTGTAATTTAGATTTATTATTGTTATTATTATTTTTGGGTTGTAGTTGTGCTGATTTTTTATTTTATTTTATTTTTTCAAATTTGCGGTGCAGTACAAGTTGTGTTCATGGCTGGCAATCATTTTCAGTGCGCAAGCGCTGGCCAACATGAGGAATTTTGAGAACGATTTTAAGCAGATCTCCATGGCTATGATGTAAGTTGACCTCCCCTGACCTTATTTCTTTGCTTCTGATTTCTTTTTTTTTTTTTTTTTTTGCACTGAATTAGTTCTGGCCTAAAATCGTGTTGAATCCTTTGTTCTTCCTTGATGAGGTCTAGATTTGGATCTTTTCCGTTGGATGATCACGCCTTTGGTTTTATCTTGTTCCTGCGTCAGATATGGTCGCTTTAAATTAGACTTAGAATGCTTACGGAGTTTTTGAGATTGCTAGACAACTTTTAGGAATCTAGGTATGATAGATTAGTTAAACTACGCTACTGTGTTCTTTCTTTTTACACCTTGAGCAATAATCTTTTAGTGGGAACAATTCGTGCTGGTATTGGGGACGCTTGTCATTCTTTGCTATTCATTTATTGTTCATAGATGTGGAAAGATCAGGACCTGGGACTTATCATAGAAGCATTTTATAATCTTAATAAGAGTTACAATTCTGTGGAGTGGTGATTATAATACACTTGTTCGGATAGTAGCTTATACAACTGTTGCGATCTTTTGGACTCTCTCTCCCTAATTTGCCTGAATTATCTTCCTTGCATAGAATGTGTTTTAATTAAAGATATGGCGTTGGAGATGATTGGTAGTTGTTCTCATTCTCAGGGTATTGGTTTATCATAAATTACTAGAAGTGTTACCTTTAAGATGTGAGTTTTGAATGGTTAGAGTGTCAAATTTGTTTCTATTGTCGAAATCTAACTTCTGTGTTTTACCTTCCCTTTATTTGGCCAATATAGGTTCGGCATCATGGGATTGGTGACAAACTATTTGGGAGTGGGGCAAAGGGTAAAACAATGATGTAGATCGCAAGTTTCGTTGGTGGAATTACTCTGGATGAGCTGAGGTGTCTGCGGGTAGAAGCTCTCATATTTTATGTTGTTGGTATCAAGATTAGTTTCAGGTTGTTGATGTGGTTATCTTAACTTGTATTTGGGTTTGCGGCGGTTATGTGTTGAAACTGAAAAGCGGCCAGGCTGAATTGTAACAATAGAATAATTCGATTCACTTTCTTGCTTATAGTTCATGGCTTTCCGGGTTCCATGCTTCATTTTTTCACAACATCAATGTGATGCACAACGGTACCTAACAATGCATCAGAAATCTTTCTAATGACCTGGAAGGCCAAACTTTATCCCTACTTTAGGTGTGCGTTACCTACTTTAGGTGTGGGTTAATTTTTTTCACTACATTGTATGGCTTTTGGGTCCCTGTTGTTCCTTTTTAGTCTTGTGTTGTTGGTTTACTGAATTTCTCAGTGTGACATAGTGCCATAGGAATTGAGCGAGTTTGCCCTTTGAGCAATTGATGATTCGATCGCTTTTGAAAGACCTTTGTTTTTTTTTTTTTTTAATTCAATTGAAAATAATCAGAAACTGTGAAACAGGACATAAATGTTGTCCTGGATTCGTCTTCCCCCAACTTGTGCAATTTGATGAGGCAGGGATACATTTCCGCTGGATGATTTATTGATTAATGAAGACTTTATGATGCTTGTCCTACATCCTTTAAGAAAAGACTTCAGTTTTCATCAGAAATCTTAAAACCACGGACTGATGTTGCAGTTTCTTTTCAGCCAAGTGGCTGGAGTTCGTTACTCTTGTGTAGGGCTGTACACGGTCCGGTTTGGCCGGTTTGGAGGGTGAAGTATGGGCCAAACCGGATTTTACGGTTTGAAAATATTCAAACCAAACCGGCCAAATGTAATTATGAAATCTGGGCCGGCCGAACTGTAATTTAACGGTTCAGTTTGGTGCGGTTACGATTTGGGCCGAATTAATTCTGACTTTTTTAAAAATTTTAAAATTCTCATTGTGATGGACTACAGGGTCCAAGTTTGAAAGGCCCGATTCATTATACAACAACAACTACACATTGACATCAAAACAATATTAAAAAAAATGAAAAAAAAGGCCCGTTTACAAGCTCAAAATACATAACATCAAAAACAAAAAAAAAACTCAATCAAGTTATTGACCAACTGAGAACTGGCCATCACAAATTTAATATGAACATCACAAATTTGAAACAAAAAACACCATACAAACCTCATCACCATTCGCCTACAAGCTGCATACATCACAGTCTCAAAATGGTACAAAGATTGGCAAATCACAGCCAAAAAATGGTACAAAAACCACCAACTTCAAAGCTATTTCCTTAGCGACAACATTAGAATTGTTTACTTGGCACAATCACAACAACATTACACTAAAAATAGCCCATAAAATGGCAGAAAAACCTGCAGCCTCACAGTCTAAAAATGGCAAAAAAATCAGCAACCTCACATCCTAAAAATGCCACAAAGCCAGCAAAATCACAGTAAAAAAGTGCCAAAAAAACCAACATCACGTCTTAAAAGCGGCATACAAACAGCCTAAAAGGAGCACAACAACAGAAACATCATGGCCTCGAATTGAGGCAGAAACAGCAACATCCCATCCTAAAGGTTTTCACAAAAACAACAACATGATAGCCGAAAATTTGCACAAAGTACCAGCAATATCACAACCTAAAAATTGCACACAAACCTTCAATATCACTCCACAAAAACCAGCAAATTCAAATCTCACTGACCCACTCCTTATACATACAAATTGAAATACACAAATAACTAAAGTTAAGAAGATGTCATCTTTGCCTGCAGGTGCATTTTCCTCCAATATTTGAACCTGAAAAGTAACATAACATGACATCCCAGCCATCAAAAAGACAAAAAAAAAAAAAAACAAGAAGAAGAAGAAAACACAATAATGAGGAAGAACTAACCAACATTAGCACTAAAATTACCTCTTCAAATTCATGTCATAATCCATGCTGTCACTCAACATTATCACTGCAGATTTTGAGAGAAGTTGCAAAATCTGAACAGAAATGAAGAGAAGAAAATATATTAAGACTTCTTGGGTATAAAATGTAGTAAAATACATTAAGTCAATAAATGCAAAATAAAATCAGAATTACCATTTTCAATCCCTTCAAGTTCTGAAATCTCTTTCAAAACACCTTGTAAATCAATTTCTTCTTGTGGGACTTCATTCCGCAACCAGTTTTGTGCACATATAAGGGCTTGGACAGTTTTAGGAGTGAGACTACTCCTAAAAGGATCTAGGACACAAACACTGGTGCTAAAGGCAGATTCCGAAGACACGGTAGAGACGGGAACAGCCAAAACATCTTTAGCAATCCTCGACAAAACTTTAAATTTTGTAGAGTTTGACTTCCACCAATTCAATACATCAAATTTCCCATCAATACTCTCTTTCTCATCTGATAAGTATCTTTCCAATTCAGACTTTTCTGCATTAACTCCAGATTTTAGAAATGACTTGAAATCTTGCAAATGTTGCTCATCTAGATCAATGATATCATCATTTCTAACCACATTAGCATTTTCAGGGACATGTTTTTCTTTCACAAGGAGAGGATCTTCTTTAAGATAATGAGCATAGAGATTTTTTAAAGCATTATCCACATTTTCCTTCATTGCACCCACAAGTTCTGTATCCAACCCATACATACGATCAATACTACAATTAACATAATCTTGTTTGTACCGAGGATCAAGAATAACTGGAACAAACAATAGAGGGTTCATTCTCTTTGCATTTCCCCAATACTTGTCATATTTTTCCTTCATTTTTGAAGCCATAGTACTCAACTCAACATTATTATCTCTCATGCAATTAGTGATATGAGAATGAACGGAACACATGTCATGAAAGTTATTGTTTGAAGTAACATACAAAGACCCCGAAAACCTTTTTGTTACATTATAGAACAACCGAAGAAAGCTCATGCAATACCTTGCTCCCTCCCAATCTTTAACATTCGGTGGCCCAATTTTATTCACATCATGCTTTTTACGAGCATCTTCTTCCTGCAAAAGGAAACTTGGACCAACAAAAAATCGTCTGAATTGCCAATCACCTCTTAACTGATCAAAAGCTCTCTTAAATTTTAGAGCAGATTCCAACATCAAATAAGTGGAATTCCACCTAGTGGAAACATCTAGGCAAACAGATCCACCAACATCCAACTTTTCAAGTTCCACACATTCATTAAACTTGTGCAACCTAGAGGGAGATGATCTAACATAACGAATAGCATTTCTAATTGCTTGAATGGAAGGACTATACTCTTTCAACCCATCGGTTACAACTAAATTTTATATATATGAGCACAACACCGAACATGTAAAAAGTCACCATTTAAAACTGCCTTTCCCCAATTTATAAGCTTCTCTTGTATGTAGGCAAGAGCTAAATCATTAGAACTCGCATTATCCACGGTTATGGTAGAAATACCGTCAATACCCCATGCAAGCAAACAAGATTCAATCACTTTCCCAACTGTTTCACCTTTGTGATTAGAAATAACTTCGAAATTCAAAATCCTCTTTTGCAAATTCCAATCATCATCTATATAATGTGCAGTAAGAACCATGTAGTTAATGTTTTGGATAGAAGTCCATGTATCAGTGGTAAGAGATATTCGTTGCGAACATTTACTAAAAAATGCTTTCAACTTTCTCTTTTCTTCCACATACAATTCAATCACATCTCTAGCTACTGTGACCCGACATGGCAATTCAAACTGAGGTTGCAAAACTTTGCAGAAAAATTTAAAACCCAGCTTTTCAACCATTCTAAAAGGCTGCTCATCAACAATAATCATCTTTGCAAGAGCCTTCCTACCCAAATCTTGTGTAAAAGTAGTAGTTAAACTTCCTACAACCCTAGAACTGTTTTTTTGAAAATACAAAGTACTTTGTTTCTTATACAGATTTCGGTGAGGATTTTTCTTGCATTGAGTACGAAAATGATTCCACAAACTACTAGTACCAACCTTTGAAGGGTTATAAGAATAATCTTTTTTGCAATACTTACAAAAAGTCCGCTGCTGCTCATCAGATTTTGGAATGGTGAAGTGTTTCCATATAAGCGAGCTTCTCTTTTTCCTTTTGGAACGCGAACTGCCATTAACTCTATCCTTTTCCTCAATGACCTCAATAGTTTCATCATCACCAATCAGTTCCTCCTCAAAATCGTCCAAATCCAACTCCATGGCATCAGCTTCGTTGTCATTTTCCATCTTAACCGTTGAGAGAAACAATTCCTTTATTAAATCAGATTTGGCTAGATTTTTTTATTTTTGGAAGGACTCGAGAGATAATAGGTCGTGGAGATGAGAGTACCTCCCCGATTGATGATGGAGAGGAGGGAGGAGGAGAATTGGGTGTGGTGGAGAGGATTGATTTCGGGGGAAGAGATGAAGAAATGGTAGATCTGAAGAGCTGCGGCTGAATGCGAAGAAAAGGAAAAATTTAGGGTGAAAAATGATTTGGGAATTAGGTTTCACGTTTTGGGGTTTTAAAATTGGGCCAAAAAATTGAGAATTGGGTGTGGTGGAGAGGATTGATTTCGGGGGAAGAGATGAAAAAATGGTAGATCTGAAGAGCTGCGGCTGAATGCGAAGAGAAAGAAAAATTTAGGGTGAAAAATGATTTGGGAATTAGGTTTCACGTTTTGGGGTTTTAAAATTGGGCCAAAAAAATTGTTGCAAAAAAAAAAACTGCCAAAGAGAATCGAACCTGGCACTTCAAGTTCAAAGGAAACAATAAAATTGAATTACTAACCATTTAAGTCAAAATGACACATATAATAAGTTAAAGGAATTTATATTATATATATATATATATATATTATATATACATACACAAATAGATTATAGCAAGATACGGTCCGGTCCGGCCTGGACGGCCAGTTTGAAGTATATACCGCAGATCAAACCAAATCTTACAGTTTGGAATTTTACAAACCGGCCGGCCGCTCCCTTGCCTATAGAAACCGGCCAAACTGTTAAAAACGGCCCGGTTTGGTCGGTCCGACCGGTTCATGTACAGCCCTACTCTTGTGACTTGGATATGGAAGCATTGGATTTGGCTCCAATTCCATTTTCAAAGGATAACCCTCGGCGGCAGTGAAGGCAGGTGATAAAAACTGCTAAATTCTCAATTTGAAATTGGCAAGTTAGTTTTTGGTTGGTGCCTATGTAGAACAACTTTCCATCAATTCCAAATATTTGAAGAAAGGAAAATTCCTAGATGTTCATTGCCGTCCAAATCATCCTTCAAATCACACCCCTCACTTCAACTTGCAAATTGATGAGATGATCAGAGTCGGTTGCTACATTGTGTGGTGCGGACTTTGAATCCGATCCCCCATGTCGATTCTAAATGCCAACCGAAAAGTGGTTTGCTAAACTTCTAGATGCACCCATACTTGGCACTTTAGTGCTTGCCTTTTGAGAAGCATGGAGCATGCTGCGAAAATGAACCCTAAATAATAACTTCAATTTGTTATTATTTTGAAGTACTGCCTTCAATTTTAACCATCAAAAGAATGAAGATACTTACACTTTATACTTTATACGTTTATTCACACTCAAAAAGACAGGCTTCGTTTTTAGATTGTTTTAACACACAACATATTACTATTACTTACACTTTATACGTCTCAAAATAAGAGTCTTGTCTACTTAATTTCAATGGACGTTACAATTTCTTCGCAAAATATAATTTGTTTCTCAATTTACAAACAACAATCCTTCCTCTTACCTTCATCTCATCAACCGAGTAAAGCTTAAAACAGTGGAATTCCTGTTCAAAATTGCATTCTTTCTTAATGTCCTAATAATCTCAATGACTTTTAATTTCCATTGTTCTTCCCACTTGTAACCTCCAAGACTCCAACTACTAAAATAAAAGACCATAAAGCACCACCATTTGACTTAATGCAAAGCCACCACAAGGCACAAAAGCAGCCTTTTCATTTTTTGATTTCCTGATTTTAACCCCAATTTCTTCGGATATTATCCACTAATGAACTCTATTAGCCTGCAGTATTCTCACCAACCCTTGAGGCCTAAAACTGTCTTAAACCCCAACGCCAGGAGATATTTCCTTAGTGGCAATTCGGTCAAATCAGTGTTACCTACCACCACTCACGCGGTTGTGCTCAAGTCTTCCGCCGCCGGGAGAGATCATCGCCGCCTTAGTTCTTCTTCTGTAGACATGGCTGCTTCTGCTGTGGACGATCGGATCCCTCATATCGCTTCCACCATTCGGGTCATACCCGATTTCCCTAAACCTGGCATCCTCTTTCAGGACATTACCACCTTGTTGCTTGATCCCAAGGCTTTTAAGGATACCATCGATTTGTTTGTCGAGAGGTACAAGGACCAGAAGATTGATGTCGTTGCTGGTGAGCAGGAATTCTTTCGTATTCTCATCTTTGTAACCTTTTTTTTTTTTTTGTCTTATTTTCTTTTATCGTAAGTTTGTTTTTAAGTTGTCTGATAAAACTCTTAATGTGATTCTGGAATTATGACTACTTTAATGAGATTTTATTTTGGGTAAGCTGGTGTACTTGTAGTGCTTGTGTGTGTATGCCTTCTCGTTCAATTTGTAGAATGTGAACTGTGGTTAGTTCCCAAGGCAATTCGCATTTGGTCTCTCATGGATGTATAATTTTCTTAATAAATTTCTAGGTACATAGTGTTGGAGTTAGGCTAACAGTTCCTAATGACTCGTGATTGATTGAAGAGGGGATGAGTTCTTGAATGTGGCTTCTTCCCGGTTGTTATTTTTGTAATTGCTGCTTTGTATGCCTAATTTGTTATGAATGGATCATTTTGATGGCTTACATGGTGCTTAAGAACTCATCCTATTCTTAGCTGATGTTATTCTGTCACTATTGCTGTCCGCCTGTCCCTGCCTGGTATATTCATGTGGCATACATAGTATTCTATCTGACGTAACGCTAAAAATGGTGCAGGCATTGAAGCAAGAGGTTTTATCTTCGGCCCTCCTATAGCTTTGGCTATTGGGGCAAAGTTTGTTCCCATGAGGAAACCTAAGAAATTACCTGGTATGTGTTGCTTGTGGCAGTTCTTTCTATCTGCTTTCTTTACTGTAGCTGGGAACAAAAAGGGTAATTTGGAATTGGAAAGAATTAGAATTGGTGCAATTCATGACTGGTTTCGTTTATTTTGTTTCTTCCAAGAAGTTTTCCTTTTCTCGGCATTTTTAGTGAAGAAACTAATTATGATTTTCATTTTTACATTTGTGGGATTGCGTCTTCAACTTATCTTCAATCTATCTACAATGATATCGTTTGTCCATCATACTTACAGTCATTTTAGTCAAACATCTACTGAAGTGAGTCTCCTTTTTGCTTTGGTTTACTTGAAAGATGATTTATTATGATGCTTCTATAGGAGAGGTGATTTCAGAAGAATACTCATTGGAGTATGGAACGGATGTAATGGAGATGCATGTGGGGGCTGTACAAGCCGGGGAACGGGCTTTGGTGGTGGATGACCTCATTGCAACTGGTGGCACCCTATGCGCTGCAATCAGGCTCCTTGGTAATTGTCACCCTCTAATTCTTTGTTCCATGGTAGTTTGTGAATAAGCTTGCAACTTCAGCTTGATCACTTAAGCTTTCTTGCGTGTTTTTTTGTTGAAATGATGTGTCAATAAAAACTTTTAGGCAATCGGATATGATTAAAGCCTCCAAAGGTTTTGGTTTCCAACGTTGTACATTAGGATGGCCAAGAAGGATCCTATGATGATTCCTGAGAAGTGATGTGTCAATAAAACTTTTAGGCAATCGGATATGATTAGAGCCTCCAAAAAAAGTTTTTGTTTCCAATGTAGTGCATTAGGATGGCCAAGAAGGATGACAATTTCATGTGATGATTCTCGAGTAGAAGTAAGAAGCTATGTTTCCAAAGTTAGAATATTTACACGTGGATTTCTTGCAATTGGATTGGTTTCAAAGACTAATATGTTTTACCTTTACCTGGCTTATAAAATTGTCTCTTTGAAACGGTAAGCTCTAAGATCTGGATTTGGTCCAGGGAAATGAACTGTTAATTCTTAATACAACCTTTCAATTGCCCCATGATTGAAGCCTCAAGTTCTTAAGAAAATTATTTCAGGCCAACCAAGAAAGAAGTGACTGATGTTCTGTACTTTATGTAAACCAGGTTCAATTGCCTCATGTTAATACTGCATATGAATTCCGAGGTCTTTGAAATTCTAACAAAAGTGACCAACCACTTGACCTCGCACTCTTCTAGGGTCCTCTCTTCTGTACCACCTAGGCTTGTTTTATTTTATATCTTTTTGTCCCCCACACAAAAAAAAAAAAAAGAATCGGCCGCCAACCCCAACTGAATGTTAAATTGAGATATGTTTAGTGCTCAAATGTGTCTTTTATTTCGTTGCAGAACGTGTGGGAGTTGATGTGGTTGAATGCGCGTGTGTCATTGAGTTGCCGGAACTCAAGGTAAACCTCCTTTGCTATGGTACCATTTTTTACTGTAATCATTTTATTATCAAGAGCAACTGCTGTATTGGAGACTTAAAGAGTTGAAATAGTTTCTGATTGTGAACATGGTATCTGGAAGTAACCACTTATGACTTATGAGTGAATAAATGGAATTATCATCCTTGCAGTATTATGCTTTGGCCGAAGTTTGTTTTCATTTTTATATCCTGCCAAAATAAAGGTTTGCATGGTCAGAAAGTCCAATCTCCTGCATATACACTTGTCTTTTGAAATACCAAATGTATACCAACGCTTTGAAGTCTGAACATTGTTAATACTTCTAATCAGCACTGTCAGTGCAGTCAGTGAAGAGATGAAATTATTGACAACAGTGAATATGTGGTTTCATTCACTGTTTGTTTTAAGTCACAGTAAGGAAGTTTCTCTATGTCTGTGACGTTTCTGTATATGTGGTCATCGTTTCCCTGTCTTCAGTCAGATACTTTTTTCATACATAATTCTTTTTCAAGTTGCTTTAACTTTTTGTTGGTGCCTTACATTTGAATGCAGGGACGAGACCGGCTAGGAGAGAAGCCCTTGTTTGTTCTTATAAACTGAAAGTAATCTGGAGATTTGTAGCAGAAGGGTATAAATATGGTGGTTTACCCCTCATCTGCCACGTAAGGTGGGAAGTTGTTCAAGAAGGGGCTTCACTTTTATATTGGAGCATTTGGTTGGAATAATCTCCAACCGGTTATTTCGGGTTTGACAGATGGTATATTAAACTCCAGTCTATCTGCTAAAACCTGCTTTCAGATGTCAAATCTTCTAAATTTTAACGGTGAAGTACTACCACTTATGTAATGGTATTTTATTTGATTGAAGATATCATCACTTGCGAAACCGAATCCATCGTCAACTTTCTTTTATGTAATGATCATTGTCTTGGAAAGTAGTTAGTGTATGAACAAATGGTTTTTGGTTGCTTGCAATTGTTATGTTGCTTTGCTTCTCGTTCTGTTGCAATTGAATTAGCAAGGTTTTACTTGTCAACTGTTCATCTAATTCTGACCGCGTGAACGATGAGCAGCTTTGAAGAACGTTTGCAGTTTGCTAAGAGCCTCTATTACTGATTCAGGGAGTTCTTTCAGTGTTTTCCAGTTATTCCCCTTAGCGTATCAGGCACTAATACTCGAAGTCAACCTCCAAACTGGGGTGGACTTTTTACAAGAAAATATGTTTACAGTTTTTTGGTTTGACATTTGCATGAGTTGACATTCTTTGTTGTGTTTCTCGAAGCAGTCATTATCATTTGGGGGAAGTTTTACTTTCTGCATCAAAGGTTGCATTATGTCATCTTTTATTAATAGTGAAGTGATTTTATTCGGTTGACTTTGGTTCATCAATTTATTTAATTTTGACAGTCTAACTGCTATGCAGTTTAGGTCGGGGACAACAAATCGGTATTTAGTTATACTTAATTGAGTAACTAAACGAGTGTCAAAGTTAGGGAGTTAACATATCCAAATCAATTAGTAGAAAAGATAACATGTAATAATTGGTGAAATCGCCTTCTTTTTCCTTGATGGAATATAAACTTGTATGTAATCTCTCACTGTGATTCTGAACGCGTGACTAACGATTCTTTTACAATGAAGTTTCCTTCTATTTTGATGAATCTTAATAGCATCCTCAATTGTGAAAAGCAACACAGAAACTAAAGCTGCGGCAAAAAGGGTCAACGAGTATAATATTTGATTTATGTGCGTGTGAAGGTTGAAGACCTTTACATATTAAAATTCTGTAATTAGGAGAATATTCTTATTCTATTGAGATCTCAGTTGACCAACCTGCAAAATGATTACTCTATATTATCTGGTCGGGTTCTCGAGCTTGATCTCTCTCTCTCGCTCTCTGCAAATAAACCTGATGATTAGAGTAAAAAAGTCAACTCCTAATCTCTTCTTAGGATGGTTTTTAAGTACATGGAAATCAGATCCAGATCAAATCGGCATTTTTGATGAATCTGCTGATTGATTCAGCTTAGATAGCCAGGTAAAACTTAGTACTTCCAGTGGGTTATGTGTGATTGTGTCTAGATTCATTAAGGTTGATTTTATTAAAATGCTACTTTATTTTTTGACTTTTTCCCTAGTAGACACTAATATATTTGGAACGCCATCAAATGTATTACTATTTCGTTTTTTCTTTTTTTTTCTTTTTTTTTTTTAATTTACTTTCCCTTATCAATTTCATTATATTAATTTTTTCAAAACGGTTTCACTCACGGTTCAGTTGCAGCCCATCTAGTGGAACGCCACACGAATTCCTACGTGAATTACCGAAAATTGGTTAAATTGTGGAGAGACATAATCAATTAAGAAGGTAATAGTCAAGTCTTGATAAAAACAATGGAATTGAATCCCTCTAAATATTTTGTTGGATCTTTGGCAGTTAGGTTGACAAAGTATATTTTTACAAATTACGGGCTAAAATGCTATTCTAAATTAAAAAGATACGTAAAATTGGCCATCATCCCAAAATATCTAGACTAGACTATTGTCAATACTTCCCCATGTAACCTTATAGCCGCGCGACTTATGCCTATTTGTATACTTTTGAATAGACTTCAACAAACTCAAATTATTCTTGGATAGACCTTACACCAAAATAAACTCTCTTTAAAACGTTTTTCGTGTGTGTTTTTTATTTACAGTGAAAACGTAATACTCTTTTCGATCTCAAAATTATTGTTCACTTTAAATTTTCACTGTTAGATTACTTAGTACTAAAAATTAAACATCCAAACTGGATAATAATTTCATAACGGAGTAAGTAAACAAATGAAAACATTTTAGAAAAACACCTTCAAGTGTATCCAACTCCCACGACTCGACCAAGCCGGCCATTTGCCAAGCCTATATGAAAGGAAACAGCTTTCAATTTGTTGAATGCTAGATCTGCAGCTATTTTGCTCGCAATGCATGATTATATTATGCTACTAAGGATTATAATGAATAGTTATTCTTCCATCCATACTGCTCCGGTTTGGATCGTATGATCATGTCGTGATTCGATTCTTAAAATCTAATGTTAACCTGTACATACAGTGCAAACTAGTGATCGCGAACATATATCTTTGCAAAGTACTCTCTCCGTCCCACAAAAATAGTTTATATTGAGTTCTGAGTTTTGTATTAAATAGTACAAAACTCAAAACTCAATGTGTACTATTTTTGTGGGACGGAAGTAGTATGAAATTTGAAATCTTGATTATTGATTAAGATGAATGCATGTTCCGCTCCTTCTGTGCATATTGAATTACGTTCTATTTTTCTCATTTCTTAATATTTCACGAATGAGACCTTTTTTTTCCTTTGTAAACCAAAAAATCATTGTGACTTTCTTACAAAGAGATTTATTTTGATATTCCATCATTCTTTATTCTCTAACTTTCTACTTTCGCACCGTCTAGTCGACATAAAAAAAAATCAAAGAAAAACCGTCACATTCAATACCCAACAGTACCACAATAAACCTAAATTGGGGAGGAGAGTTGAAAAAAAACTCAAGAAACAATTATTGGGAGCTGTATCACTTCCTTGACGCGTGTTAGACTCACGAAGCTGTAATTTCAATTAATAAATTATACACTTTGGTATTTTTCTATAAGTATAAATCATGTTATAGAATAACATAATATATGCCCACAGTAGCAGTAAGGTTGGTAGGAATCATAGGCAATATATTAAGGTTTTTGAGAGAGACTTTGGAGTTCGAACGCCATTGATCATGTTAAAAGTTGTGGGTTGTATGTGGTATCTCAGTATATTCCACGTTATGGAAGCATTTCTAAATTATTTGTTTAAACTACATCTATGTCTGGCTGACTCGTAACTTGAACTGGTCCCCTTTCCCTACTGGTTTGCTTCATCACAAATTTTTGTTTAGTATCTATGATTTCTAATTTGGATGATGAGTAATGATACAAACTGTAAATTCATCAGATAACAAAATTTACTTGATGTATAAAAAGATGCATATCCCCTTATAATACATTTCATTGCTGTGATGCACAGTCATTTGTAATCTTATACTCCATCTGTCTCATAATTATTGTCCAGGTTGAAATTTCACTTTTAATAAAATTTGAAACTTAAATGAAAATTCAAACTGGACAATAATTTCAAGACGGACGGAGTACTTATTTTTATTGAATTTATAAGAACATAATAACATTAATCACTGAATCATTAATTTCGCTAACAAATATATTTGTGATGTCTACACATAAGTTCATAACCCTCTCTCAACTGAGTATTTTAAAGTTTAAGAGTCGTTTATATCCATAAACAGGCTCAGAAAATGATAGTCTAATGACGCTTAAGAGGTTAGTTAAGGAGATCTTTTTGACGCCCAAATCCTATAATTACGTAAGGAATTGGGTATAATTGGAGGGAATAAATACACAAAATATAAAACCATTCTACTCTTCGCGTCTCATCGTTAGTTGGAATCAGAATGATTATTGCAGAATAAGATAATAAATTTGCATTGTTGTCAACCAACGTTTGCAACTCTTCAAACTTAGAAAAAGCCATGTAAACGTTAACAACAGATATTAATTAATTAACTCTGCATTATTCGTTAGAAGAAGGAATTTTCTTTTGTAACAAACTCTAACGTGCGGTTCTGTAACTTGGAAATGGTACTCCAATGAAACATGGTTAAGACATAATGTGTACGTAATAACCTCGCCCTAATGTAAATTCAGGGACAGAGATACTCTCAAGAGTGAAAAATTTGATCCAAAACCCTAGTTGTTGACAATGTCTTCTCCCTAACAATTGAACTCCAATTAACTGCTTCTTCATTCCTGAAAAAATTGTTCTGACCATTATATTAGGTCGGAAGAAGTATAAATTTTTTTTTTCCAAAAGGAAAACTTAGTTAAATTTAGGGTTGATACTAAAAGTAAATAGAAAGCAAATTTTAATACTACAGTTAATCTTGTGTGACCATCTACTAGAATTCTGAAAAGTCCATGGGAAAAAATTGTGACACTTTTAGTATTACATTACTATTATCAGTGGCGGAACTAGTTACTCGAACTTGGAAGGACTTACTATTATTCATAATCAAGATAGATGCTCGAACATATATAACGTAAGGTAATTATGACTATTCCTAAAAGGTTTTTTGGCGGGGCGCCAGGTGTTGGGGGGCTCGGGTTCCGCCCCTGACTTTTATATTCTTTAAACTTTTAACAATTATAGGTATATACTCACCAGTTTGTGAGGGTATTAATATAGGAGAAGTAATAATAGAGACAATGGAAAAATAATAGTGAAATTTTATAGTAACTGATATGTACTTAATAATTAGGGATAAATATAATTTTGAGGAAAAAATAAAATTTTAATGAAAAAGTGCCTACAAAATCGGTCGATCATAATATTTTAAGTTAGTCACAATTTTATTCACTATTGTTTTTTCACCGTTCAAATCATTTTCCAATAAGATGTAGTTCTAAAATTTTTAAGCATGCCATATAAATGTAAAATAAAAAATAAAAAAAAGTGTCGAGTAAATCCGATTCGCAGTTTTATCGCATTTATAATAAGATCTAAATCTAGAATTATTGAATTGTATACAACCGAAAAAACTGGATTTGGCAATATATTGGGAGCTCTCATATTCAAAACAAGTTCTTCATCATTTATAAATATGATATTTTCATTTTTAATAGAAATAAGTCTCCATATTACTCATTTTTCTAATTAACTCGCAAGTTAAAAGTATTTCCTGTAAGTGATTTCTTAGCGTCTTTTTTACCTCACCTAATATGTTACTTCCTCCTATTCTTATTGCAAGGTATTTTTTAAGATTTCTCTTGATTTTATTTATGAAACATTTAATGTCTTTAAAATTTAAATTATTTGTGTTATTCCAAATTTATCAACTATTTAATTCAATAATATAAATGTTAACCATGCAACCAACCTTTCAAAAGGTAGATTCCAATTGGGTTAATATATGTAATTTATTTTATTTTCGCAATTAAAAAAAATTAACTTAACTAATTTCTCTTGATTTTGACGATATAGTTACTTATGTCCTATAAATAGGACCGGAGAGAGTATACAAATTTAAATTCCCACGTACAATGAGAATATAGGTTTACCTAATCTCATTTACATTATCAAAGGTACTTGTTACATATTTTCTAGGTCTAAAATTGAGAATTTATACGGGACAGAGAGAAAAACTCATAAAAATCATTATTCACTAAGTAAAGATAGACACAATAATTATATATAGTAAAATGAAATAATT